AAAATAATAAATAAAATAAAATAAAATAAAAATAAAAATAAAAAATAAAAATAAAAATAAAAAATAAAAATAAAAAATAAAAATAAAAAAATTAAAAATATTATTAAATAATTAAATAAAAAAAAATGACAAAGTTAATAAATATTGTAAAGATTTAAGTTTTAACTTTATTTGATCTTTAATGTTTATCTTTATATGATTTTAAATGTGGAATACTTTAACAATTAAGATAAAGTTAATTGAATCTTTCTGAGTATTGAAACATAGAATAGATCTAACAGTAGCTGAGTTGATGATCACATCACGGCTGTGTTGGCTGAATCTTAAAAAAAAATAATCTGTAATCAGCCTATATGTTTTTATTTTTTATTTATTTTTGGATCTTATGATAAACGAAAAAGAACATAATCAATATACCCTGGAGTCTGTATCATATACTCTTTAACAAATTAATTTGTTATTCTTAAAAAAAAAAAACATTCCAATTTTGTTGTAAAAAAAATTGTATCTTCATTTTTTAAATCAACAATGATTCTATTTCAAAATCGTTTTAGATATATTAGCAGTAATTTAATATTATTCAGGTCGACAATCAGAAAAGATAAATTATTTTATTCAAATTCTTATTCAACTAAAATGAATGATCCAACAGCAAACAGTTTATTGCGAGTTGCTGTTGGCCAATTGACTAGTGTCAACTCTAAAGAAAAGAACTTTGAGGTGTGCAAATCATTAGTTGAAGCGGCTGTTGAGAAACAAGCAAAAATACTATGTCTACCAGAGAACTTTGCATTCTGCAGTGGCGGTGTACATCAATTCGAATCGAGAGACAACGCAGAGTTGATCAACGGTGAAACGATATCAAAGTATAGAGCACTCGCTGCACAAAACAAGATTTGGTTATCGCTGGGAGGATTCCACGAGAAGATTGAAAACGATCCCGAACACATCTACAATACACATTTGATCATTGATGACAACGGAGAGATCAGACAAACCTATCACAAGATGCATCTGTTCGATGTAGACATACCGTCAAAGGGTGTAAAGATGAAAGAGAGTACTGTCGTTCTGCCTGGCGATCAGATTGCGACGTGCGACAGTCCAGTCGGAGTGCTTGGTCTGTCGATTTGCTATGATCTTCGATTCCCTGAGTTGTATTCTTCGCTGAGGAAGCTAGGTGCACAGATACTCTTGGTTCCGTCGGCATTCATGAAGCGAACGGGTGAGGCACACTGGCATATCTTACTGCGAGCTAGAGCTATTGAGAATCAATGTTATGTAATAGCTGCTGCACAAACAGGTCAACACCACAGCAAAAGAGACTCATACGGACACAGTATCATCATATCACCATGGGGTGACATCGTAGCAGAGCTATCAAACAACGAAACAGGAATAATAACAGCTGATATCGATACATCACTCATTGATACAACTAGACAGAACATGCCTGTATTTGAACATCGTAAAACTCAACTTTATAAAATATAACAAACTTTATATAATAATAATACTAATGTAAATAATCCTATGATTTCTAAAATATATATAATGTAATTTTATTAATTTATCTAAATAATAAAAATTGTGTGAAGAGTAGTAATCGAATCTAGATCTTTTACTTTTGATTGCTCATTATTGAGTATGTGGAGCTACTAGATCAAATTTTTGTATTTTGTTGTTGTTGTTGTTTTTGTTATTATTATTGGTGATGTTGTTGTTAGAAGCAGCAACTGATTTTTTCAATTCTTTGTATTTTTTCTTGAGAATAGAGTATTTACGTTCGTCGTGATCCTCTACACTCATTGCTATACCATGTCCTATTCGAACGACACGCCAAAGTCTGAAAATGACAAGCAGAGCACCTGCATTGTCTCGAAATACAACATCAACTACAATCGATGTCGTAATAACAACAAGATCGAGTACATAAAAAGGATGGAAAAAGAAGTCTCTACCAAATGCTAACATCAATGCTATTATTTCAATTTCGAAAATACCTAATATCTAAATCGTTTATTTGTTATATTCAATATAAATTAAAAAACATAGAAAACATATATGAACAATAATATAAATACATACAACTAATGTAATTACTCTCAATACACTCTCTGTACGTTCAACAGCATGTGGAATCTCATGTTCATCTTTACATCTAATAGTAAAAAGGATATATAGTTAATTAATTGTTTGTTGTATCAGTAGTCAGTAAAAATAAAAAAGTGTATTACTTTTTAAATGATTCTTCAAGGAACATCTCAATAATCGCTATGATTAAATCGAGTATAATCAGCGAAACGATGAATGTTTGTACTTTATTACTCTCTATAAAGTGACCTAATTTATATCTCCATCTCCTAAATAAAATTAATAAAATTAGATCTATTTAGTTATTGTTTCTTTAACTAGTATAATGGATCGATCGATTATTTACGTTCTTTTATTATGTCTTGGACTGTGTATTGCGAAATGAAATGGGAATCTATAGTCAACGACTTTTTGTTTTTTCTTTTTCAAAGGTATATTCAATTCTGCATCTCTTTGCAGCGATGATACCGCTTCATTAACGACACTGACTGGAGTATGTGATCCACTACTACTACTACTACTATCACTAGAGAATGTTGATGAACTATCAAGTGTATATGGAGATGATTGATATGTATTAGGTTGTGAATTATTATTATGACTATTATTATTACTCATTTTTTATTGATCCACTGTTGTGCTTTATTCTTAAACAAAAACAATAACAATAAATAATAAAAATAAAATAATTAACAATTAATATACATTATATCATATTCTCTTTTCTTCTTTTTTCCTTCTACTATATATTTCCTTTTTATTATTATTATTAATATTAATATCTAATAATAAAATTAAAAAAAAATAAAAAAAAACAACTACTTCATTCAATTATTTATGTTATCATTTAGATTGAATGAAACAATAATATTTATAACCAATTCAATGTGATATCAAATTAAATAAGATATTTTTATATTGATTCCTTTAATTTCAACCAGATTGGGAGCTTCCATTATGAACATGAACTTTTTTAATGAAAGTTTAGTTTTTTAGATTTTTTTTTAGATCCGACTCTCAATCGACTTTTTTTTTTTAAACATTTGATACTATTATTTAAATTAATACAATTTTATAATTTATTTATTGATTACTTTTACTACTATTAATACAAAAATGATTTAAAAAGTATATTTTATCATTTATAATTCTATTTTAGGTGTAACTTTTTTGGAAAAGTCAGGTTGAGGTTTCTTTGGTATATAACCATTTCCACCGGTATGTACAACATTCTCTGGCTTTGATTCTTTGAATTCGAATGCAGGTATTCCATCAAAGATATTGAATAGTCGATTGCCGCTCTGTGAGTTTCTAAATTTGTTGTCTTCAAAGATATTGTTGTTTTTGGGTTTATCACTTGATTGCTTCGATCTAAAATGATTGATATTCATCATCGAAGGTTCCATCGGTTCAACTTGTCCATCTAGCCCTACTCTACCTTCTTTTATCTTTCCTGCCATTGTTGTAACTTTAATAATAATTTATCATTAATATTGAGTATCTATTATAACAATAATGTTGTTTAAACATACCTTCAGATGGTGTTATAAATTGAGCTGATTCACCAAATGGAAAATGTAATACCTTTTCTGGATTATCATATGCATATTGTCTTTCTTCATCATGTTGTCTTTTAAATGAAGATTCTCTTTTTTTATTTATCGATACAGATAATACAATATCTCCATATAAATAAAAAAATATAAATATTAAAAATATTAATAACTTCATATCTTGTAAAAAAAAATAAATAACTAACAGAAAAAAAAAATAATCAAATGATATTCAAACAGATAAAATTTCAATTATTTGTGGTTTGTTCGTTCATTTTCACAAAATAAAAATAAAAATCACAAAATTCATTAAATTGTTTTAATATTAATATCAATCATATGATATTTTATTCTAATTTTAATCAGATATGATATTTAATAATATTATTAAATATTTCTATTATTTAATTTTAGAAAAAATGATCTATCTTAAAATTAAAGAAATTTTAGTAAAATTATTTTCAAAGATTTTTTAAAAAAATGAAATTTTTAATTAAATTGAATTACCATTTTTGTAAATTAAAACAAAAATTTAATTAAAGGTAGTTGGTAAACCACTATTTGTGCCCTATTTTTTTACTTCTTTTAATTATTAATTAAATTGTTCTACCTGGTGAAAACAAAAGTTACAACAACTTATAGTTCCTATATAAAAAGAGTAGAAAAGAAAAAATGAAAGATCTTAATTCAGTCATTTATAGTTGTTGTATATACCCTTAGGTAAGATTTAATTTCTTTTTTTAACCACAGCAACACCTTTTTAAAACACTCATATCTTAATTTAATAATAAAAAGTTTAGAATACAATTGCAATAATAATCATTCATTCATTTATTTAATAAAGTTATTCATAGTAGCACACTAAACAATTCCCTTAAAATAATAATATATATGTTCAAAGTTTAGGTCAAGTGTTTGTTTTTTTTAACTTTTATACATATATATATGTATACAATTGACTCTAGTTGGTTAGTTATAAGTTTTTTGTTAACTATTTGTTATTGAATAAATTCATTACCTAAAATCGAATGAAAATATTAAATTTATGATATCATTTTTAGCTTCATTATAGTATTCCTTTTAATTGTTATAGACAACTAGTTTATTATTTGAATATCAAAATAGTAGGTAGTAAAACAGTTTATTATTACTCATTGGGGACTAGTTTAGTGTTTGCTCTTCCTATTGTCATTCTCATTTTATTGAGCACCTTGTATTTTTAATAGATATAAATCAAAACACCTAACCCCCCTGACACACAAACACACACACACACCAATATATCATCAAAGTGGCAGTTGTTGAATTTTACTTCTTTGTATGAATATCAAAAGTCAAGTAAGTTAGTTATGGAATGAAACAATCAATTATCAAATCCCAATGCAAATTTCATAAAAAAACAAAAAAAAAAACAAAACAAAAAATAAAATCAAGACAACAAAATCATCAACAACCAACTGTCAAATAGAAATTAAAGACAATGTTCCACTAACAAGATAGTTGGTTGATTTACAAAATCTCTATGTTTTATATTATCTTGGTAATAAAAACAAAAAAGGTTAAACCTTTTTTTATTTATCTCTATTCAACTACTGCGATGTCACCAAAATTAAATACCACCAAATACATATTATTATATTAAAACAAAAAATCATTTTATTTAAAAGCAAATAAAATACTCAAATTGTGTTTTGTGTTTGTTTTTTATTTTATATTAATTATTTGTTGTTTAAAGTGGTGAGATATTAAGTTTAATAGTGAGTAAACTATTTAGTATCTTTGTTAATTTTTGTTAGTATTAAACGCCAATCAATCAATCGGGTGTTACTATGTTAAACTATGGCTATTAAGTTATATTACCATCATTTTTTAAAACCATATCTACACACATTGTTACAACACGAAAAATAAACACAGATTCCCAACGATTGTGTGACTCCAATCATCATCAAATTGAATTTCATTCACACCACCCTACAAGTTCCCTCAGTTTTAATCAACAACATCATCATTTTTAGCATTTTTCATCATCAACACCATCACCACCCATCCACCCATTATACAACACCATATATATACAATTCATACATTGATCAATCATACATATATGTTTTGATTTAAAAAAACAAATAAATATTAAATAATTTTAGATAATTAACTTCTTTTTTGTACAATTATTTATTTAATTCAATATAATTTTAATTAAAAATTACAAATATAATTTCCTTTTCAAATTTAAATAGTACATTTATTTATTAAAATATATTGTTGTTGACTAGTTACTAAATCTAAAATTGATATATCAATCATCATTAGTTAGTGTATTGCCATTTTGGATGTTGTAATTTTTAATTGTCTTTTTTCCAATTTGGTTTACAATGCAAATTTAATTTTCACTCAAAGATATAATTGTCAATGTAAGCTGCCTCCAATTGATTTAATTTTTTGTAACTCAATCATAAATATTTATTGTTGTGTGCTTAATTGTTCACCACTGACTTTCACACATGCTTCAATAATATTAGATACAACGGAAATACTCTATTTTTCGGAGAGATCTTTTTTAATTGGATTAATTTCTAGATATAATTGTTACATCAACCATTCATTATCAAAGCGTCACTCAAACTGCTGTCTATCAATCAATTTTATTTAACAAAACAGGTTTATTGCTATAATCGATTATAATTGTTAATTGAATCATTTACTTTTAAAATAAATTAATCTATTTCTTGATTTTAAAAATACTAATTTCTTTTTTTTTCCAACTTTCTAAAAAAAACAATAGTGATTAAAGAAATTAAATTATTTTAATAATAAATTATTTAATTAATTATTTATTTATTTATATTTTTATTTATTTAATTTTTTATATATTTTGTTTATATTTATTTATTTTTTAAAAATGGAAATAATTGATAATTATGAAGTTCCAAAATTACCATTTAATCAAAGTCAATTAAGAAATTCTATAATTTCACCAAGGAAATCACCATCGAAATGGTATACCAAATTATTAAAAAGAGACAGTGATTCAACATTTAGTTTTTCATGTCAATTGAAATGGAGATTGGATCAAGCACAAGAACAGATTGAAGAAGATCATGATAGATACTCATTGGTTACAGATGATTGTTTGGATTACTCTGGATCCGGTGGTAGTAGTACAGAGACATCCGATTCAGAACCAGAAAAACAGCCAAACTATTCAATAACCAGAAATCAATTTAAAGAAAATTATTTCTTGGGTGTTGAAATTGGATGGTAAGCAAAATATCTATAGATATATGCTAAAAATCAGAATATTAATCGTTTAACAATCGAATATATAGTGGAGCAACATGTACAGTTCATTTAGTTACTAAAAAGAAATCAGGTGAGAGATTTGCCGCAAAAATAATACCAACAAAAAAAGTCTTTACCAAACACTTTAAGACAATCTCAAAGGAGATTACAATTATAAAAACACTTAACCATCCAAATATAATCAAACTATATGAATGTTTTTTAACTTTAGACAATGTATATATTATTATGGATTTGTAAGTAACTAAACTTTTGAATAATAGTAATAATATTTTAAAACTTAATATTAACACTGTTACTGTTTATTATATTAGTGTGGACGGAGATGAATTATTTGAAGAAATGTTAAAAAGAAGAATTTTTAGTGAAAATGCAGCTAGAGCAATCGTTAAACAAATATTGGAACCATTGATCTATTTACATAAAAAGAATATTGCGCACAGAGATATCAAGCCAGAGAATATAAAGTTCAGTGGACCGTCATCGATGAAACTGTTGGATTTCGGATTTGCCAGATATCTGCAGGTGGAGGGAAACAATAACAACGCTAATCTGCCTTCTGGTACACTAGGCTATGAGGCACCAGAGATACTGATGAATGCGAAAAATCAGACCACTGCCGTTGACATGTGGGCGGTCGGCGTCATCGTCTACACAATGCTCTGCGGTTACACGCCTTTCACATCGGACGAAATGTTCCATGAGGAAGATCAGATCAACAACACCCCATTCTGGGTGATGTTCAACGAGAACACTCCAAGGTTGCGACGTTCAATCATGGAGGCACAATTCAACTTTGACAGCTACCACTGGAAGGACGTCTCCTCGGATGCCAAAGATTTCATAAGTGGCCTGCTGACGGTTGACCCTAGCCAAAGACTCAAAGCAGAGGATGCAATCAACCATCCTTGGTTAAAAACACCATTGGATATTACATCAATTACACTTTCACTGCGACAATTATAATAATAATAAAAAAGTGAAACAAAAAATAATATTAAAAATTAAAATTTAAGAATTGTTTGATGATAATTGCAATAAAGTTATTAGATTTATCTTACAATTATAAACTTATTATTATTGTTATTTCTTCTTCTTTTGCTTTATTCATTTACATTACTACTACTCTTTATCGCTAGCTTCTTTACTATCATCATCTTTACTTGAGTTTTGTTTTTGTTTTATCTTTTCTAATTCTACCTCTACTTTCTTTCTGATTTCATTGTGTTTTCTCTGTTGTTTCTTCAGTTTTCTTTTTTGTGATTTCTTTGCTGTTCTTTCTTCAGATTCTTTTATTTTGTCTTCTCTTCTCTCTTGAAACTCTTTATTCTCTTGATCCTATTGTTATATGTGTGTGTAATGTTAATATAGATTGAATTAACGATAAGTATATGATATCTCAATACATACTATGATAGCACCCTTTTCTAGCTTTTCTAATCTTGTCAACTCTTTTCTTCTCTGATTTCTATATACATGAAAGTCACCACTGCCACTACCAGCAGTAGATCCCGATACATTTGAAACTATTACTTTTCCTTCTTTACCACCACCACCACTACCACTACTGCTATCATTCTTATCATCTTTATCTGACATTCTTCTTGTTTTTAAATAATATTCGTTTTTAAGTTAACAATTATATATTAAGTGATTGAAAAATTTCAAAAAAAAAAAAAAAAAAACTCTTACAAAATAAAATTTTAATTTGTTTTTTTAAAAAAATTTTTATCACAATCATAATAGCACAAAAAAAGATATTATTATTAAAATAGTTAACTATTTCTCATGAACTTCAAATTTAAAGATCTTTAAAGATTAAAAAGATTGATTAGTTGTTTCATTGCTAAATCTCTAAAGTAACTTCACTAAAAAAAGTCTTTTTTGTGTCACTTCACTCTAATGACAAATCCCAAGTTTGGTGTTAAAATAGCTATTTTTTGCAAATAAAAAGTTTTCGATGAAGTTTAGTTAATGTTTATGTTAGAACCAGACCCAAAATTAAACATTAACTAAACTTCATTAAAGTGTTGATTTGGTATGATTATAATTTTGGTTTAAACATTAGCAATTTATAATAAAATTATAAAAGTAGTCCAAAATAATTCTTTGTTTTCTAAGAGCATATTAATTTGTCGATATTTAAGAAATGTTTCGATTGATAGGTTTTTTGGTGCGTGGGAGGTAACCACACGGATACACAAAATGTCAAAATTTGACACAGTTGTTTTTCATTTAAAATCTTGTCATTTCTTCTATTTTTTTTTTTTTTTTTAATTTGTTAAAGTTGATTTAACATTTTGTTTTGTTTTTGTGTAAATTGTGGTAAAAAAAAGTGAAAAAAGGGGTTGTACATTACCAAATTAACCACCAAAGGTTCAGTTTTTTGGTCAACAATTAATTTGTGATGGTCAAACCCAAGTTAGAGAGGACCCAATTATTAGATAATGCTATCAATCAACAAACATAAGAGGAGTGAGCTTCTTTATTTGTGTTTGGACAAGCTCATCATCTCCAACAAAACACTAGTGTTTTAGTGCGAGGTTGATTTGTTAAGTATGTCTGCTTTGTATATTGAATAACAACATTCACCTTTAGTACTCTCCCACCCCCACCACCAAAAAAAAAACTAAACAAAATACTTTAAGTTGATGATGAATATGCACCAATTTCATAAAAAGCACTATGAATGTTATAAATTCTATCATATTAAATTTGGTGTACACAGAAAAAAAAAATGTTTTAAAAAGGAAATTTTTTCTAAATAAATAAATAAATAAAAAATAAAAAATAATTTAAAGATCACCAAATAAAATATATAAAAAAATAAATAAAAAAAAGATGTATTTAATAAATAAAGTAACAAACACAATATTTTATCATTTTTTCTAAAGAATAAAATAAATCAATATTTAAATTCAAACACACACAAAACACACTCACATATATTTATTAAATTAAATTCTATTTGTTTCTTTCTAAAAAAGTTAAAAAAGAGTGGTAACAAATATTTACAATAAAAATTATTAATTATGTTTGGAGCTATATTTTAGAATTTAAAATTGTAATGTAAATTTATATATATCTATATTAATATAATAATTATATATATTGTAAATATTTGTTAGTATTTCTTTAATTGTTGTTGATTTTTTTTTTGATAAAATATATAAATATTGGTAAAATGGAAATTTTTAAAAACCATTTTATTTTTAGTTGTTCACTGTTTATTTTATTATTTTTAAATTGTATAGATTATAGCTATAGTAATAGCATAGAGAATAATAATAATATTAATAATCAGAAAGAAGATAAAGTTAAAAATAAAAATAATAATAAACCTATTTTAAAATTTAATACCGATAATACTTTTAAAATATTACAAATCACTGATCTTCACTATGGAGAAGATGGAGATTGGGATAAATTAAATATTGAATCACAAGAGATTCTCATTGAATCTGAACAACCTGATTTTGTTATGTTATCAGGCGATATGATATCAGGATACACTGATTTCTTTACAAATATAACAAATTATAATACGATTTGGGATACCTTAACTTTACCAATGAGAAAAAGAAATATACCGTAAGTAAACTTAAATTTATAATAATTTTTTATCAAATTAACTCTCTTATTAATAATTGGATTATATTTTTTTATTATTATTATTATTCATATAATTATAGATGGTCAATTACTTTTGGTAATCATGATGATGAAGGAGCTTACAACAGATTGAATTTGACAATGTTAGATATGTCTTATGATTTAAGTTTGACTCAGATTGGACCGTCCAATGTATCTGGTGTAGCAAATTATGTTTTAGAAGTACAATCATCAGATTCCACAGATATGGCAACTCTCATTTATATATTCGACAGTATGAAGAGTAGTCAGTGTGAAAGTATGAATGGTGATTGGGGTTGTGTTGATCACTCCCAAGTTGAGTGGTATGAACAAACATCAAAGAAATATAATAGAGTAAGTTTAATGCAAAAACAAACATTTAACAATCAATACCTATCATAATATAAAACTAACTAATATAATAATTTTTTTTTAAAAATAGCATACTGGGTTCGCTTTTGTTCATGTTCCACCTATTGAAGTGGTTGATCTTTGGAATACTAGGACTGTGCGTGGAGATTTCGGTGAGAGATTGTCGTGTTGTTTTGGTGATGGATCGCACTTGGTTGAGTCAATGATTGAACGCGGTGATATTAGAACACTGTACTTTGGTCACGACCACAGGAACGACTTTCAAGGTGATTTCTTTGGGCTCAATTTGGGATACGGTAGAAAATCAGGTTACGGTTCCTACGATCCAAAGTACACTCAAGGCGCCAGAGTGCTGAAGATCTACGAAAAGACACTGACTCACGAGACATGGATCAGAAATGTCAAAGGGGAGCGTGATGACCAGATTTCACATACACCACTCGACGAACAGCCAAGATATTGCTGTGTAGGTCTCGATTCCAAAGACAATCCTAGCTGGTCACTCTATTTCGCGCTCTTCACCTGTGTGATGATCATTCTGTTTTTCATTCAGTGGAAGATCAGCAGTGGTGTGAGTCACCACAAGCAACAACTCTTGCTAGTAGGTGCTGACAACACCATTCAAATGATGTCACATGAAGAGATTAACCGTCAAAATCAAAGTAACAACATTTCCTCTGCAATTATAAACTTGTAGAATTTTAATAAATGATTTCCAAATTCAAAAAAACTCTGGTTCAAACAAATCTTTCAAAAAAAAAAAAAAAAACAATTCAAAAAAAAAAGATATTGTTTTTTTAATTTTGCAAATATTTGTTTTTACAAAAAAAACAAAAAAGAATCTAATTTTGTGTTTGGAAATTTAAAATCTTCTTTGCAAACACTGGTAACCAATAAGACATTGAATTCCCTGGAACCATATTTTGTGTGTACACTAAAAAAAAACAGAAAAAGTTAATTTCTGAATAGGGGTTATGTTTCATTTTAATAAATAATTAAACAAACACAAAATCACTGTGTGTAATTGGATGATCATTTTAAAAATATTTAATTTGTTTACATCAACTTTTAATCTATACATAATTAGTTTTTATCTATTCGAACAACAATATTACAATCATTTTTTACAATCTTTAACATTTTACTTTTTTTTTATTATAATTAATTTTTTTTTTCATGTTTATAAATGTATAATAATATAAATATTAATAATAGCTATGATAATAGTTTAAATAATTATAATGGCATCGAAATTAGACATGTTATGGATGACTCTACAAGTAGTATAGAGAGTCCACTTTCATCGTATAACGATGATAATTTTATAAATAAATTGATTGGAAAGGAAGATTCGAGAATTCCTTCTTCTCTTCGTTTTTCAGAAGAATTTGAAGACTGTGATTCAGATTCCGATACTTCTGGTATTTTAAGTCCACCAATAATCGTGGATCAAAGTGATTTGGAAAAAAAAGAAGATATTGAAATAAATAAAAAAAAAAGTAGAATTTGGAACAAACCATTTCTAAAAGATAAACTTTGTATTATTATCTTCCTTTCACTGGCTTTGGTCATTAGAGTTGCTAGTGCAAAACTATTAATCCCCAACATCTTTACAAACTATGTTAGAAACGAACACCCCAATTTCACCAACGACGAGGTCACCTCGATGGCATCGAAATACAAGTCAGTTTCAGATTCTCTACCGTATATTACCAATTTCCTATTCTCTCCATTGCTCGGTGCTCTATCTGACAAGTTTGGAAGGAAATGGATTCTGGCATTCATTACACTCACCCAAATCATTGATATGGTGGTGGTTGGAATCACTTTCTGGTTCGATTTGATTTGGCCATTCTATATAAGTCACACCATTGCAGGAGTAACCAATGGTGCCCTTCCAATTACACTGTCGTACCTTGCCGATCTAACCACTAAGAGCGAACGATCCGTTTGGTTTATGATTGTAGGCGCTTCGGTCGGAATTTCAGTGGCATGCGGCCCTCTCTTGGAGATGTTTTTAATTCAACTTTACTCTTACAAAGCCGCGGTCATTGGAAATGTTTCAGTACTTCTCATTTCGTATCTATTCTTACTACCGATAGTAGATTCAATAAAGTACATCGAAGGTAAACCAAAAGATCCAATTCTCGATCAATTTGGACAGATACCAAAAGAAAAACTTGGAAGTTTGAATCCATTTAAATCAATCATCAGATTATTCACAACTTCAAAATTCATTGGAGTTTATGCACTTCTTTACTTCTCTTTTACCTACACAAGCCAAGATACAATCAACACAGCCTACTATTATACAAATATTAGATATGGTTGGGGAGCTCTTCAAAATTCTATAAATACAAGTGCAGTCGGTGCATCTGTATTCATTTGGAGTTCTTTTATATTACCTATTTTACTTAAATTCATTTGTAAGTTTAAATTAACAACTATAAACATAATCAAATGTATTAACATTCTTTTATTTTTTTAGCTGAAAGAAAAATTGTTATTGGAGCATTCTTATTGAGTGCAATTTTCCATGTATTATTTGCATTCGCAGTGAATCAATGGATGTGGGCAGTTTCAATGTCACTTGGATCATTCAGTATGGTACTTTTAAATCTGATTCAATCGATTATTTCAAAAGCAACTCCATCCCATATCCAAGGTGCAATGCTCACTGGTGTATCTGCTCTATCTTCATTGTCTTCGGCCGCCGGTGCCTATGCCTCCCAAAATATTTTTGCATACTTTATCAGTGCAAATGCACCGATCTACTTTCCAGGAATGCACTTTTTGATTAATAGTGGTATCATATTTATTACTTCGCTAGTAAGCGTCTATGCATCCCGTATTCAAAATCCAGAAGAAACTCAACAATTACCACCAACTTTAAAAAAATCATTATTGGATGATGTTTCTTTAAATTGATTCATTATTAAAATAATATTATATTTACCGCTATTTTCATAACATTATAAAAATTATAACTTCTTTGATTCCCTGTCTTGTAATAATTAATAATTTAATCTTATAATTTTTCTAATATAATTTGATTTGTTAGAAAAATAAATAGTTAATTTCTCATTTGTTTTACTGGAAAATGAATAATATCTAAATTAATCACTTGGATATCCAAAACAATTTTTTTACTATAATTGTAAATCTATCACATCTATTATTTTCAAAGATAGTTATTTATTTAACAGATAACATTGACAAGATATTCTTTAGTTTAGTTTGTTAAAGATGTTCAAAGAAAGACATAAATATTTGATGTTTAATAGTGATAATATCTATGGTTATGATGATTCTCGTATCTTTTTTGAATTCATATCTATCTTTGATAGTAGATTCAATTCAGCAAAAGAAGAATTTAACTTTAATCAAGATTATGAAGTTCAATATTGTAATCCTTATGACTATTATATAGGTAAATATATCTAAAATCAATATCTTATCGATATCATACTCAGTATAGCCAAGATCTAAATGTTTGAATGATGTTGGGATTGCTGATTTCAATCGAGAACTACTTTTGAGTATCAATCAATCGAGATTCATTGAGATCTATCACTGTATTATGTTTGGTAAATTCTTATCGGTGAACATCAATGATTTCAGATTGATGTTGGTACGGCTGTGCCTGGTGCATACGCTAATGTATGTAGAGTCAGTGGCAACGAACATTCGATGCGACTTGGTTGGTTGATCGATAGTTTCAATACCTCAAGGTTCGGTGGTAATTGACATAGTCTCGGATTGTTTTTGGCGCATGAGTGCTTGAGTGACGACGGTAACACTCCTGCTAGTAAAGGCTGATCAAAGTGATTGCCAAGTATCAGTTTCTCCAAGCCTTCTGGGAGAACTCCTGCTTCGATTGGTTGATTGAAATCTGACTGTTCAACAAAATCATGGATACTATCTATTATTTAATAGATTCGATGATCTTTAAAAGTAAATGTTATTCCCAGATCGTTCGAACTATCGATTTGAAACCCTATCATGTTGCAGACCGTAACGAAACACTTAACGGTTTTGCCATCAAGAAGTTGATTGTTTCATTCAATATAATGAGCATGAATATTCAAAGAAATGCTTGTTTGTTCCGAATGGTGTTGAAATCTTGGAAGTTGGCAATTCAGCGAATCAGATTTTCAATGACCATTCTATACCACCATCAGTCAAGGTTTTGGAGATCAACAATTATTTTTACTTTGGATCGTTCCACAAACAATTGAACACTTTATAATTGGTATTTCCTTTGCATTTGATAACTTTAGTATTAGTCCATCGTCAGCACATCAAGGCATAACACTACTAAATTTCACACCCATACTCCAACTACCAGAAACAATGTTTAAAACCACACATTTAGGATCCAATAAAATACAATACACCATTAGAAAGATTGACGATCATTATTATTATTATATATATATAATGGTCATCGTGATAAACATGGATTTACCTTTGCATTACTTCACCAATCATTTTTAGATCTCACACGAACAAAGTAAAAATGATTGGTGAAACTTTGTCGTAAAGATCTTGGAACTTTTAAATAATAAATAGAATCATTGTTACTTATCTTATAATCTAGTTATAATCATACTTGTTTTGTTATCAGATTTAAATGTCAGATGGTAATGCATCATTTCTTTTCTCACCATACTAGATATATACATAATAATTGTAATGTTAACCCTATAATTCTAGTTATATGTTGTTAATCTGAATTACAAAACAAAGTACTCTAATAGCTTGGTTGTATTTATGAGTTTCATTAACATTCATTTCAAACAAATTTAGTCGCATCTGATGAAAGTAATACAACAACAAATACTTTATTAGCTATTTTTTGAATATTAAATGAATATCCTCTGGTTCCCTCTTATATAATTCAGGATCTGGTGTGTCGATTAACTGACAACCCTGTGATAAATAGAAATCTACGGTGTTCTTGGCAGGAATCGAAGAGATATAGATACCGTTGACGTCATCCAGATTCTTTAGCTGCTCAATGCATCGTTTGAAGAGTAGTTTACCAAGACCTTTGCCACGCTGGTCAGCACCTACATAAAAGAATAGCAACTGCAAGAGATCACCGTTGACACCGATCCTCTTTGAATCAAGCACAGCACAACCAATGATTTTACCAAGACGATCGGTATTGGATTTGTCATCTTCTCTGATCACATAGAAATAACCATCTCGATCGAAACACTCTATCAGTATTGGTGTGTATAGCTGTATGTCTTCCTCTGAGAATCCTTTGACGTCGTGATACTCTGGATATTCGAGCAATGACTTCTCCTTACCGCTGTCATCATCAACACTCATTCTATACATTGAACGAATGATTTCAGACCTATCAACCTCCCACAACTCTACCACTTGCTCTCTATTTAATGTTTGTATTTTATACATTTTTATAATAATAAATAACTATATTTTATACTACTACAATGTCAATACCAAAGTATGATTTATAAACTAACTTATCATACTTTACTTTACTATTATTATTTTTGCGATTATTTTAAGAATGTCATCTGTAACCACAAAGATTTATAAAATTACTGATATTTATAAACAATATTTACCTATATTATCATTAGTACATTTTGAAATAGAAACATGAACAGTATTCTTCAAAGTTTACCAAACATTCATTTAAAATAATAATATATTTAAAATCTTTTTTTTTAGCTGTTATATTTGTTAACATTGTTAATTATAATGATTATAATTTATTTATATAGTGTAGTGTGTTGAAGTTATTGTTGTTACTGTTATTTATTATTATTGCTTGTTGAGATGTATTGACAAAAAAAAAATACTATGATTATTAATTATGTTGAACACTCTGCAATAGTCTATCTAACTTTCTAGGATTGTTCTTTATAACTCTAAAATCTAAAATCTGTTCATCACGTGTATCCAGATGATAGTCTACTCTTTCTTTTGAGTGTCTATGTGGCTATTAAATAATAAATTATACAACAAACTATTATTAGTAAATCATATTTTGAATATAATATTAAAATATTGTGCAGAATATTCATATGATCGAATCTTCAAAGTATAGTAGTTTCTTTTATTATTTTATCTTTTTATTGAATCCATTCTCTTTTCTTCTCCTTCTTCTTCTTTTTATGTTCTTTTGTCTTTCAATAAAATTAAATCGACGATTGCTGTTTTTGATGCTAAATGTTTGTTGATATCTTAAGATTTACGATAACAATAATAATAATAATAATAACAAATAGAGATAATAAAATAAATGATAACCAACCTTTCCATTGTGGAATGCTCTGTGACCTTTGTCAAGACCGTATGCCATGAGCAAAACACCGAGTGACATAATTGCACCGACTGGTAAAACTTCAACCCAGGTCATCTTTAGCTACTTCTATATCGATTCGATCTAATTATACAAAAACAAACTTTAAATTCTAATTTAATATCCTTTATTATCTTTGTTTAATTATAAACAATTCAACAATATGATTGATTATTATTTTTTTTTTTTTTTTTTTTTTTGATCACTCTGATTTTTTTTAAATTTTTTTCAAAATCATTGATTGCAGAAGTTCCCAAACAAAAATATACATATTTAAAATGGTAAATATTTTCGATTTATATGTTTTATATAGATACATTCAACATATATAAACTAATTATTATTTCATTTTTATAGTCTGTAACTTTACATACAACATTAGGTGATCTTAAAGTAGAGATATTCTGTGATTCCGTACCATTGGCATCAGAGGTATGTGTATTTGTTATTACTTTATTATATTTTAATACCAATCAATGATTTAATAGAATTTCTTAGCGTTATGTGCATCTGGTTATTATGATAACACCAATTTTCATAGAAATATAAAGGGTTTCATGGTTCAAGGTGGTGATCCAACCAACACTGGCAGAGGTGGTCAGAGTATATGGAAACGACCGTTTAAAGATGAATTTGTTTCTCACTTGAAACACAATACCAGAGGAATCCTATCAATGGCAAACAGTGGTCCCGACACAAATCAATCACAATTCTTTTTCACCTATGAAAAACAAAGACATCTAAACAAAGTTTATACTGTTTTCGGAAAGTATGTAACATAACGTATTACCTAAACCTATCATAACGATGACAATACTAATTATATTTGTTTATTCTTAACAATGATAGAGTGATCGATGGATTCGATGTTTTAGATTTAATGGAAAAAGTACCGGTAGATGGAAACGATACACCTCTTATCGATATTATTTTGAAAAGTGTAACGATACATGCGAATCCACTAGCACTGTAATATATATATATATAAATTAAAGAATGACGATTACTATTTCGATAAATCAAAGGAAGTGTTTGCTATATGAACATATCATAAACACTTGGATGTTGTATATATTTATTTATTTGATTGATTGATTTTGTAAATTATAAAAGATAGATTATTTGCAATATGGACAACATTTTTTTGCAGAGGGATTTGCTGGCATTAAGGTTTGTCCTCTGGGACACTTTATGTTTTGATTACATCTCACGGAATCACACGGGAGAATACAGGTATTGCAACACTGTCCAGCCTTGGGATTGGCAACGAGGTATTTTCCGTTTTCTTTCATGCATTCTGCTTCAGTAATACGAAGACAAGTAACAGCTGCACAATTTGGTTCACAATAGTCACAACATACACCATTCTTTATATCCTTTGGATGGAACTTGCTTCCTTGTGCCAAACACTTGCTTCTGTCGGCATCAACACAGAGAGCAGCTCTACAATCAAGATTTGCACGTGCACTCATCGAAGAACAAACTACTAAACCAACAACAATTATGATTAACTTATAATTCATTATTTATTTCTTTTATTTGTTATTATTATTATTATTATTTAATCTAATTTATTTAAAAGTTACTTTCGAGTAAAGAGTTATTTTTATTTTATTGTGTAGCACTTAAATGTTATAAAATGAAATAGAATATGTAAAAATTTACATAATTTTTTAAAGGATATAATGTACTTTAAAATAATTTAATACAATCATAATGAGTGAAAGTTAAGTTGTTTTGTTTATTGAACATAATAATATTATTAATAATCTGATCTTAAAAATCTTTAAAAGATAAAAATACATTAAGTTGTTCGGATGGTTAGTGGTGTGTGTAACTTATTTTATTGATATTTGTGAGAACAATTTAACAAATTCATATGATTTAAAAGAAAAACGGTTGTCTTTTCGGAAACTTAAGTAGTACGTTGCTCATATTATGATTTATCTGCATTGTCAAAAACATTTAACTTTTCTGTTCACTTGTTGCTACCTAAAATTAAAGTGTGGTCAAAATTGAAGAAAATACAAATCAAAGCTAAGAGGATATTTAATGTTCTTTGTTTATATAGCATAAGATATAAAATATTTTTGTATATTACAGTCAGTATCAAGCATTCGAAGTAAAAATGAAATATATAATATATTCATATGGAGGACCAACCAAACCAAATTTTTGATCACCCCTTTTTAAAAAACAATACCTCATACACAAAAAAAATTTTGTTACATATGTTTAAACATAAACAATTTGCAATTTTTTTGGATTATCAAACGCACAATTCTTAATTTGCATTTTACTACTTAAATTAATATCATTAATAAATATTTGTATTTTTTTTAATTAGTTTCTTTGTCTTAGTCTCTTTTTATTAAATTATATTTAGTTGTACCTCTTCTCTTGCAAGAACAGGTTCTTCGAGGTTGTTTCTTTAATAAATTAAATTTGGGTGGTGTTAAATAAACAATTTGAAATTTTAAAATGTTTTATTTTTTTCCTAACATACTTTAGAAACTTTCAAAAAACAACTTCGAAATAATTTATAAAGAAAACTGTGTAAATTAAAATTAAAAGTATCTAATGATTATAAAAAAAACTAACAATAAATTATTCTTAAATAATAAAAGTAAAAATTCTAGATAAATAAATATTAAAGAAGTATGATCTTTACAATTATTTTGAAAACAATTTTTTTTTTATTCTTCTTTTTATTTGTTTTTGTTTTTTTTGTTTTTGATTATTTATTTATAATTCTGAAAATATTAAAGTTCCCTAACCCCACTATGTAAAAATTGGTTGACGGGACCAACCAACAAAACCAAACACTGTCCATTTTTTTCTTTGCTTTATGATCCAAACTATAAATAAAAATAATAGTGATAAAGGCAAGAGAGTAAATGACAGACCTATAAACAAACTCTCTGGAACATCCAAAAGGATTGATCTAGTCAAGGATCCACCGCCAACACAATAATAGTGTTACACAGCATCAAATTCTTTGGAACGAATAGTACATTTAGAAAAATTACACCTTTTATATATCAGTATATAGAACAAAAAGTTTCTATCTTGTGCGTTCAAGAATTGTGCCCCACTTGAAGATAATGTCTATTTAGTGAAACAAAACTTTTTAAAATTAGTAATAATATATTAATTTCTCACCTTAAGATCGAAGAGCCATAAGAGGAAGGAACATGGGCCAGTTTCTATACTAAAATGAAAGTGATTGGATTCAAAGCATTTTATCCAGACTTTAAGACTGGTCCAAAAGATCTGGAAAACACTACCATAATAATCGTAAGTGTCAATACATTATATTTTTAATTTACCATTTCTAATTAATATGTTGATATTGAAACCAGCTCTGAATATCAATTGATTTTCATAAAAACCAGAGAAAAGTAAACTCATTGTGAGTTTCTTGGTGGAGAGTATATTGGATCAACCACTAAGAAAACGCAACAATTTGATAGAGTTCTTATCATTAAAAAAGAGTAAGGAATTTGGATTATCAATCAAATTATTTCCAAACCATATTTATAATTTATTATATCAAAAACCATATGATCATATCTTGATTCCATCGTCAATGAAAGTTCTTCATATTGAGAAATGTTTGGACAATCAGGACAAAATATCGTGGGAGAAGAAAAATCATCTGATGATTTCTAGGTCAATATTGGATACAGAGGATAGTTCAGTAATAAAGAGTCGGAAGGTGAGGAAGAAGACGAATTTTAAATTGATTGATATTTTATAAAATTATATTTATTTAATTAAATAAAAAAAATTAAAACCAAAATATATTTTATATATTATTACAATAGGTTTTTTTATTTCAAACAATTATAGAGATATTAATAAATATTTATGAATATTCATTGGAGTGTTTATTCTATATATATAAATAAATATATAAAACATTTTAAGTATTAACATATATTTTTATTTTTTAGTTTTTAACTTTTCTATCCAAAAAACACAAGAACAAATAAATATTTAGTCAAAAAATATCATAACTTTTTAATAAACTGCAGTTATCACATTACTGATTTTATTTTTACTACTTTTGATCAATATTAGGTACATTCTTATTTTCCTCTCCCTCACTGAGGAAATTACACTCCTTTATTTTTAAGAAACATTACAAGAAAAAAACAGAGACGTTGCAAAATTTGTTCTTAAAGAAAAAATTATAATAACTGAAGGTTACATGATCATTTCCCTCATGAGGGAAAGTAGGTTTAAATATGTAATCTAGATAGTAAGTAAATTTAAATTGAACTTTTAGTTTTAATATTGAATTAACATTTCGAAAATGAAAAATATTCAATCAATTTTTATTTGTGTCTCTCTTATTTTATTTATTTCTGCTGCAGTTGAAGGTAACTACATTGAATTGTGTGCCCCATGTCTCAACGGTTATGCCCAAGATTGTGGCTCTAATAATGGAACTATTATTAAGTGTGTTACAATTCCATTGGATGTTTGTTAGTAAGTATCAATAATAAGAAAACATTTATAGAGATATTTACTAATATTACTCTCTATATATATATAGTACATTCAATGATGTTTGCGCAGATATCCCAATTACCAGAGCTTAATACATTAGTTCAATTAATAATGGTATTGTCTCTGGTTCAATTTATTCTTCCATGAATAATTGTTACCAACAAATTGGAGGTATTTCAAACACTGAAAGTTGTGGTACTTGTTCAAGTGGCACAACTTTAACCTGTCATTCTGGTAACACTACTGGATCAACTACTGGCACTTTCAACTCAACAACATCAGGAATATCCACCTTGAACAGAACTACAACTGGTCCCTACCTGACAACTGGAAGCACTACATTCAATCCATCAACAACAACTGGAGGTGGAGACAGCTATATTCAATTGTGTGGTGTATGTGCTCAAGGTTCTCTCCAAGGATGTGGTATCTCAGGATCAATAATATGTGTTTCCATCCCATTAGGAGTATGTTCTTAAGTATCAATACTTTGAACTCTTTTTTTTAAAGAATTATTTACTTATATTTATTTATTTTACATTTAGCACATTCAATGATATTTGCAGAGGTACCCCTATTGGCTCTGCTTACTACATTAATTCAATTAATAATGGTATCGTCTCTGGTTCAGTTTATCGTTCCATGAATGATTGTAACCAACAAATTGGTAGTATTCCAATCACTCAAAGTTGTGGTTCCTGTGAAAGTGGTACCACTGTCACCTGCCATAATGGTAACACTGGACCAATCACAACTGGATCAATCACCGCCACTGGAAACAGTATTTTCAATTCAACAACATCATCAGGATCTTCCACATCGATTGGAACAGAGGAAACCAATAACTCTTCATCTTTGAAATCAAATCTCTTTGGTTTGATCACGATTTCTGCATTCTTTTTACTTTTCTCTTCTTTTTAAATATTAATCTTAACTAATGACTTTAATGTTATTCACTTACTAAATTAAATATTTTTAAAAACGATTTGAAAATGTTAAAAACAATTAAAAAGTAATAAAAAATATTTAAAACTGCAAATTGTTGTCATCTTATTTTATTACTTTTTAAGTACAAGACTGTGGCTCTAATAAATCTTTTAATTAAAGCACACTCAATGATGTTTGTAATGATGGTATTCCTATATTCAGAGCTTACTTTATAATTTCAATAGAAAATGGTCACTGGTTCAGTTTATACTTCCATGGTGATTGTAACCAACGAAATCGTTCTATGTCTATCAATGAAGAATGTGGTGAATGTAATTATGATTCCATCCTCACCTGTGATCCTGATAACTCTACTGGATCCATAACAACAACAACAACAATTGGTTCGGTAACAAACACAGTTACAACCAGAGTGAATTCTGATTCATATGTTGTGATCAATACAACCACCGTATCGAGTGACTCTTCAACATTGACAACAACCATCACTTCAACAATCACATTTGGTGGAGACTCGAATGTCGTAACAACCACAACCTACAGTGAAGGAACAAAAACCACCACCGATACCTTCTCACTGAACATTATCTCTTTAAAAATATTTAAAAGTAAATTTATTTCAATAATTTGTTTTAATCATATTTAACTTCATTTTTTTTTACTTTTTTTTTTTTTTTTTTTTTTTTTTGCTCAAAATCCTTTCGTTCGTTATTTGTTTTTATTTAATAAATAAATCTATTCTATTTTGTTTTTTTTTTAAAAAAAGATTATTTGATATGGTTAAACCAACAAACACAAAACTTACACACTAAATGGGGGTCAAAATATATATTAAAATAAAACAAAATAAATAATGTGTTTGTGGTAGAGGTGTTATATCATTATATTTTTTGTGGTAATATTAAAGATTAGAATAAAAAAAAACATAATTTCTCTCTGTCTCTCTCTTACTCTCTCTCAACAACTTGATATTGTTGATTTAGTATGTTCAACAAAAATGTAACGTAACTTGTCGGTTTTATTTTTTTGGTATTTTTGAACATTTATTTTTGTTTTTTTTTTTTTTTTTCACTTAACTCAAAAAACATCCCGCTCTCAACAAAAACTCGATGAACGTTGTTTTCATTAACTAGTTTCAATCCCACATTTCGGTGAGGTAAGTTAAGTTCTCCCTATCTATTTATTTCTAGCAGTTGTTTTATATAGTTTTGGTTTTTTTTTTTGTTTCTGCTCTATCTCAACAATATCACTAGTTTGTAAAAAAAAGTAGTGGATCTACACAAATTACATTGTCTATTTATTTAATATTTTTAATTGTAATTTTAAATAAAAATTATTGATATTATTTAATAAGATTTAAACATCTTAATCTTTATTCATTTTTATTTCATTTTATATCTTTTTTTTTTTTCTTTTTCTTCTCTTTTTTTTTATTTATATCTGCAATATACAATTATTTTTAATAACAATCAAAAAAAGTATTTATTTAAACATTTATTAGTATTGATTTATGTGATATAGCTTTTTTTTTTTTTTTTTTTTTTTAATCAAACGCAAATAGATAAAAATATTAGATGGCGATTATTCTTTTGGATTGAAGTGAAGTTGTTGAGATTCGGAGATGTTGTGGTTGTGTTCTCTTTTCAATTAAATTAATTAACGTCGTCGTTCGAACATTGTATTTTGGTCGACGTTTTTATTTTTTTGAATTGTTTTTTTTGCTTGCGCTCAACAACAATTTCAATTTTTTGAAAAATAAATAAATAATAAATTTAATTAAATAAAATTCTATTTCTCACTTTTTTTGAAAAACAAAAAAAACCAACAACTATATATTCTCACATGTGAATTAAATTAATCTTATAATTAACAATTTTTTGTTTTAATTATTTATATAAATACATTACCTATAATACTATACAAAACATAGATATTCGTTTAGAATTATTAGCTATATGCCAATTGAAAAGTCAAAAGAAAATGATGGTAGTCCCCTGAACAATTTTTCAGGGCTAACCATCTCTAATGAGGGTAGTTCAAAAAATCAACCACCATTAAACAATAGCAACAACAGTAGTAATACCACTACTACATCGACCTCTTCGTCGACACCAGCTCCATACGTTCCACCATCGCGTCGTACCCGTGATTTCCAAAACCAAGCACCACGTGGAGACTACGATCGTCGTGGTTCCAACGAGAGAAGAGACAGTCGTGATAACTACGACAACCGTGACTCCCACGATCGTCGTGACAACCGTGATTCATTCGATCGTCGTGATAACAATGACAATCGTGATGCCCCACGTGACGCTCCAAGAGACGCCCCACGTGATGCACCAAGAGATGCCCCCCGTGACGCACCAAGAGATGCTCCACGTGATTCACGTGACTTCCGTGACTCTTACGATTCCTACGACCGTCGTGACAACCGTGGTGGTAGTGGCGGTGACTTTTACAAGTCTGGTCCACCATCCGGAGGTTACAGAAACGATCGTTGGGGAGACAACAACCGTGGAGGTGGATATAGTTCACCATCCTATGGTCGTTCATCTGCCTTCAACCGTGGAGGTTCCTCCTACGGTGGAAAGGGTGGTCGTCCACAAATTGAAAGATACTTTGACAAGTGGAATTCCTACCGTGATCCAAGAATCCACACTGAAATGAAGAGAGAAGACTTTACCGAGTTGGACGAGAAGACCGCCGAAGAAATCTTCAAGTCAAAGGCCAACCACGGTCTCGATTTCGATGCCTACGATGACGATGACATCTCCATCGAAACCTCTGAACACATCTGTGCTCCATTGAACTCCTTCATGGACATTGATCTCGGAGACGTTCTCTTTAAGAACATCAAGTACGCCAAGTACACCAAGCCAACTCCAGTACAAAAGTCTGCCCTCCCAATCATCATGAAGGGTCGTGATTTGATGGCTTGTGCTCAAACCGGTTCCGGTAAGACCGCTGCTTTCTTGTTCCCAATCATCTCTGGTATCTTGCTCGATGGTGCACCCGAGCCATTGGCTGCCTATCGTCCAGGTGTCCCACGTCCAGTTCACCCACGTGCTCTCGTCTTGGCACCAACCAGAGAGCTTGCACTCCAAATCTATGATGAAGCCTCCAAGTTCTCATATGGTTCACCAGTTACCTCTGTCGTAGTCTATGGTGGTGCTGAAATCTCACACCAAATCGCTGAACTCGATCGTGGTTGTGATATCTTGGTTGCCACCACCGGTCGTCTTGTCGATCTCCTCTCCAGAGGTAGAGTCTCTTTGGCTCACGTCAAGTACCTCGTTCTCGATGAGGCCGATCGTATGTTGGATATGGGTTTCGAGCCACAAATCCGTCAAATCGTCGTCGACAACGACATGCCAGGCAACCGTGACCGTCAAACACTGATGTTCTCTGCCACCTTTCCCAAGCCAATTCAAAATCTCGCCTCTGATTTCTTGAACAACTACATCTTCTTGAAGGTCGGTGTTATCGGTACCACCCAAAACATCACTCAACGTATTGAATACGTTCAAGACGACGAGAAGAACAGTTACTTGTTGGATTTCTTATCAACCCTCAAGTCTGACGGTCTCACCTTGATCTTTGTTGAGACCAAGCGTCTCTGTGACTCCTTGACTCACTACCTCAACACCAAGGGATTCGCCTCCACCTGTATCCACGGTGACTTGTCTCAATACGAAAGAGAGAGTGCACTCAACAGTTTCCGTACCAACCAAACCCCATACTTGGTTGCCACTGATGTTGCCTCTAGAGGTCTCCACATCCCCAACGTCCTCTACGTTATCAACTTTGACTTGCCAACAGACATTCATGTCTACGTTCATCGTATCGGTCGTACTGGTCGTGCCGGTAAGAAAGGTTTCGCCATCTCTTTCTACAACGAGAGAAACAAGTCACTCTCCACTGACTTGCTCCAATTGATGAGAAAGTCCAACCAAGAAGTCCCAGATTGGTTCGAGCGTACCGTCTCTTACTCATACAGCAAGCCAAAGAACACTCCACCACAAAAGTCAAGATACAACAACAATGACTCACCATTCAACAACAAGGGTTACAATAACAACTACAACAATAACAATAACAACAACGACAGATACAATCGTAATGAACGTAGAGGAGGTGGTGGTGGTGGCGGTGGTAATCATGATGATTACTCAATGCATCACAACTATTTCAACAACGGTGGTCAATATTAAATTACTCCCAACAAACAAAACTATGTTTTTTTTTCAATAAATTAAAATAAAATTTATTCTTTTTAAAATTACATAATATAAATCTTTTTTTATTTGTTTAATCCCACTCTTTATTTAACTATTATTAAAGGAACAGATAAATGAAGAGTGGGATTTCCCAATCAAAAGGTGTTTTGCAAATTTTTTTTCAAATAGTTTTTTGTTTCAGATACCATTCATAACTGACTTGTCAAACGACACACTAACACACATAAATAATTAAACACACAACAACAACAACACAAAAGAACACAAGTTTGTTCTCTAATTAATTAAGATAAGAGAATGAGAAGAAAACTTGTTCATAATAGGAATCTTTTGTTCCCCAAAACAACAAATAACAATAATATAAACATTCCTAACTATATTAGTAAGGATCATTCATCATACTCGTTTGGTACATCAATCAATACCAAAATAATATTAAACAATAGAACTTCATCAACGTTCAACTCTAAATATTATGATTATTTAAATAAATGTAGCAATCATACTAATAATATTAGTAATATTAGTAATCAAATCAATCAAACAATGTATTATCATAGTAGTAGTAATAATAGTATTGATAGTGAAACAATAAAATCATTCTTTATTAATTATTCTAGAAAATATAAAAATATAAAAATAGATTCTTTAAATTATGTAAGTAATATATCTATAGTTTTGTTGTTATTGAACTTCAATAAAACTAAATTAATTTCTATTGTTTATTAGAAAGATAGATTAAATGAAATTGAAGTGTTTGTAAAACCATTCATTGAGAGAGTAGATAGTATTTCAAAGTCTGTTCAATTAACAAAAGAGTTTGAGAGATGTACATCAGGTCTGTTGACCGATGACATTGAGTTGTTAAACTCGATATTCCAGGTGCGTACTGATTTGGATCATTCACAACAGTTTCAATCGCTCAGTGAGAATCTCGTTGGTTTCGAATCGTCGTTGATCACCACGCTAAAGTCGGTGTTGACCAACGATCAGCTGGTAGTACAATCTATCGATCCGATGTTCACACATCCCGATATTCTGAAGCAGATGCTCGAGAACGAAGCTGTACATCCATACACCAGCCACAATCAGCTATTCGATAGGATCAGAAGTGGACGACTCTGTTTGGTGCTGTTCCACCGAACACTACCTACACTTCCACTGATGTCACTCTATATTGCGCTGACCGAAGGCATAGCCGACAACATGAAGATCATCAATGAGAAGCAAGTCGATTTGACAAAGGTCGACTCTGCAATGTTCTATTCGATATCATCACTTCACAAAGGTCTAAAGAATGTAGACCTTGGACATATTCTAATTAGTAGAGCCACAGAGTATCTTCAGATAAATCCACAGATAAAGAATTTTTGTACACTTTCACCAATACCCAATTTCAGAAACTATCTAAAGAGAAGATCGAATCAGGATGAATCAATTAAGGTAATTAATTGAAAAGTCTATTTTTTTTTGATTTATTATTAATGCTTTTTATTCATATTTTTTTTTGTACAGGGATTATTAAATATAAATGATTTAGAGAATATTGAAGAGAATAAAGATAAATTGACATCGTTGTGTCTACGTTATCTATTTGTAGAAAAGAAAAAGAATAACAAGGCAATGGACCCAGTTTGTAATTTTCACTTAAAGAATGGAGCATCTATTTATCGATTGAATTGGTCCGGTGATACATCGAGTCAACGTATCAATGAAAGTTATGGTCTGATGGTAAACTATCTTTATTTAACATCTGCAAAATCATCAAATTCAATCAATTACAAACAGAATGGAGTGATTACACATCAAAAACCAATAGATCAACTTGCTACACATTTAAATATAACCATTAAATAAGTTACCAATACACTTTTGGTTTTTTTTTTTATTATTTATTTATTTATTAAATTAAGATAAAGTAGGTTTAAAATTCAACTTCATTGAAATATATACTATTGAGACAATCTATCCTAATTATATGTAATGAATAGATAGGTAGGAGAGTGAGTATACATATATAATGTAGCTACAAATCGATTTAAGAGTATGAATTGAAGATTCATCAGTGTTGGTTTATATATTTTAGTATTATGAAAACAATACAAATTTGTATTTTTAAATCTAAAAATTATTAATATTAATATAAATAAATTAGTATAAAAGTTTAATGATTTAATATAATTTATAAAATCACACACACACAAATCGACGTCTCGAGAATTATAAAATATATATCTCAAAAATTGGTTTGTTTTGGAAAAAATCGATAGATAGAATTGTTTGTATGATTGTCTGCATGTTTATGTTTTTTTTATTTTTAATTTTTTTTAATTTTGATCATCATTCAATCTTGTGTGGTGTGTTATTTTCTTTTTTTCTTATGATTTTGAACAGATACAAAATAAATGTCATACTTCACAATTCATTAAAATGTTTCGACAACTTAAGGACAATATCAGATTCAAAACACATGTTGTTGCAGCAGCACCAGCAACTTCCCCACAACAACAATCAATAACAAAAATAATAAGCTTCTGGGTTGATGAAGCTCCACCATCGTATTGATTATAATGACCAGTGTGAGTAGAGAGAGAGAAAGAGAGATAGAGAGAAGCCAGATAATAATAAAAACAATAAGCCAACAACAATTGTTTAATAGTGATTATATTAATTAGTTCCAGTAGAGACAACAACCTCGCACACCACAACCAATCCTTTTTGTTTTGTTTTGTTTTTGATTTTAGCATATGGTTGATGAACTGAGAGGACTGTTTGCATACTGAACACTGTTCATTCATTAAATCTTACAAATAGGTTGGATTTTATAAAAATAATAATTAGTAATCCCCATTCTCACTACATTATTTCTTTCTGTCATTTACCACTGATTTGTTCTCTCCTCTTCTTACTTTATTTTACAATTGATCAAATATTATTTTATCTATCTATTCTTTTTTTTTTTCTTTTTTTTTGTTTTGTTTTTTAAACTTGTATTATTTTATAAATTCTTTTGAATTTAGTGTTAGATATATTATTTAATTAATCAGTCAATCAGTCAAATATTAGATAGATATAAATTATGATGTTATTGTTATTTAGAGTTTCGTGTAATTACATTCAATAGATCTTCCAATTAGATAAAGACATTTTTGCATAGTATACCGATTTTTTAATTTTTTAGGTTAGTGAGTAAGTAAGTGATATGATTAGTGACATTCCAATCAATATCGAAAGGTGTCATTTTTTTTTTGTGGTGTGTATTTTCACTTGTTATATTTATTTGATCACAATCATCTGGTGTTTTAAATAACAATATATAATAGTTAGTTAGGGTCGTTAGCATTTTATTAATTCTATTATTTATTATTAGTCTATTTTATTATTCTACTACTATCATCCCACATCATGCACAACATTAATATATAACCATTTTCAGTTGTTTTTGATTTCTTATTTTTTCTATTATTATATTCTGTCTCTTAATCTATTTGTTTTTTGTTTTTTGTTTTTGCTTTAATCATTCATCATCATGCATGTTTGTTCAAAAGTATTTCTTGTCTTACCATATACTAAATAAATATAAAAAAAAAATATTTTGTCCAAATTATTATTTATTTTATTTAATTTTATTTATTTCAAAATTATTTATTTATTGCCATTAACAATCATAATAAATTCTATAGAACTATAGATAGATATATCGCCATCCAATAAATAAGAAGGTTTGGATTCAATAAATAGTAGATAATTACAAAAATAATAAAATATAATAATAAAAAAAATAATGTCAAACAATCCAATCAAACAAAGTTCATCGGATCGATTATCGAATTCTCAGCAATCAAGCAATAGATATGCTCTTCCTTTGAACACACCACAGTATGGCGCAGCAGATATTCCAATCACTCCAGAGTTTGGCCAACCACCAATAATAACACAGCCCTATTTCCAAGAAGTTCCTATGGGTGATATTCAGTTGGGTGCGATGGACCTAAATTCCCAGCCATACAGTTCTTCGGAAAAGCATGTGCACTACGATACCAATCCAAAGGTTTTCTTTTTGCCACCAGACAAGCCAGTCAAGATTGTTTTTCATAATTTTACCAACTCTCTCACTTCCATCCTACAAGCGATTTTCATTCCATTGATCACTACATTTCTTATCACGTTGATTCCGGTTGGTCCGTTGTCCAACACAGGTTTTCTAAACAATTGGTTATATAATATTGTATATATCCCTGCGGTAACAATCTCGATTTCAATATTCCATATTGGTTGGGCACATACATTTATAAAAGACTATAAGTGTTATTCTCCTATATTCGTTCAGACTTTTGTTTGCTCTCTGGTGTTCTCATTGGTCAACCAATTTTCAGCATATTTCCCACTGCCAATCTATATTTTCCTACTGCCACTTTTAAATTTGACATTCCTCTCGCTCATGATCTATCTACGTTCCGCTAGAAGATTCACACCGGAATTTAATGCTGCTTTTAGAAGGTATTTCGTTTTCCTTGTCCTCTGTACCCTTGTCATTGCCGTCTCCATTGGCTATGTAATTGCCTTTTCATACAAAAGCTACCAGATCCTTACAGGTGTAGTTTATTATATTATTATTTTCTTTTTGAATCATTGTGTCATTCAAGTCACAAGAAGTGGAACATCAAAAGGAACACACAATGTCATAAGTTATTGGGTGGAGACCATGTCAGAGATGGTCTTCCTATTCATGTTAATCAAAGTGGTTCCAGTCAATTTCTACATTCTACTTGCAATCAAATTGATTGCCACAGTTAGATACCCATTCTTTTTAACTGATCGTTATTGGAACTGGAGAAACGATGTTAAAGACAAATTGGATCAAAAAGGAATTGATTTTAGTTTTTCTGTATTGGGATTACTTTTACCTGTTAGCATTGAAAGAGATGAACATAAAACAAGAGTAGTAGATAGATTTTTCTTTACTGTTTTATGGTAACTATAAATTTTAATATATTTTTATTAAATTATAACTAATCATCATTTTATTAGTTATTGTGGAGTACCATTATATTATATTTTAGTATCATTATGTGTTAGATGGAGTCCAACTGCCAAATTTTATCCATATTTATTAATTTCTGAAAATGATTACATTTGGTTGCTAATTTATGCATTCTTTTGTAGTTTTACTTCATTTATGAGTTTCTTGGTCATTCGATATCTATTCCAAGTGAAATTCCATCTCTCAGTACTCAATCATCCAATGTTATCGCTGAAAAATAACGTTAGATTATTCATGTTTTGTAATTTTAGTGCATTATTATTACCAATTACATTTATGTTATTACATAATAATGTATATTATTTAGTAAATTCAAAATAAATAAAATTAATAAAATAAAAAAAAACTTGAAATAGATTAAAGATTTCAAGTTTGAAAGATCTTTTGTTTTGTATTGTTTTTTTTAATAATTTTATTTAAATCAATGACTTGCTCATATATGGTCCATCCAATTCATAACCCAATTTTCTATAGTAATGACGTGTACCAACACCAGCAATGACAGCGAGTTTAACTGATCCGTGCTCCTCTCTGGCGATTCTCTCTGCCTCTTCCATCAATAATGTTCCGTAACCTTGATGTTGGAATTTGGTTGGATCACGGTTGTGAATTGGTACGACACTACCATAGACGTGTAGCTCTCTAACGATGGAGCAGTTCTCCTTGAGCTCTGGTCTGAATGTGGTCTCTGAACACTTTCTGAGACGCAACAAACCAATCAAAATATCCTGCTTTGGATCTTCGTACGATAAAAATGTTTCCCAACCACCGTTGGCAGTGTAATCACGACGAATCAACTCGACTTGATCTGGCTTGATCTTGTGGTGAACCTCTTGAATACCGACCTCTCTGGTTCTGACATCACGACACTTGGTACCGAAATCCTTCATTCTAGCAAGACAAAGCTCACGAAGATTACCGTACTCTACACCAGAGGTAACCAGTGGCATTGGAATATCACGTTGAATACGATAGATTCTAGTCCAGGGTGGAACGAGAGCGAGAATCTTTGCAATTAAATCGACCAAACTGTCGGGCGAGTAGTTCTTGTAGGTTCCAGTCTTCCAGAGTTCGTAGAGACCAGTACCACGAATGACCAGTGTTGGGTAAATCTTGAGACCGTCGGCACGGAATGCTGGATTTTCAAAGAATTCCATGAATCCATATACATCACGCTCCATACCCATGTTTGGAAGATCTGGCATCATATGTGCAACCACCTTGAATCCACTGTCTTTGGCGAGTTGGAATGACTCCAAGACAGCACGAACAGTGTGTCCTCTGTTGGTGTCTCTTGCAATATCTTCAAACACTGACTGCACACCGATCTCCAAACGAGTGCAACCGTAGTTCAACATGTTACCGAGATGCAATTTCAAACAATGATCTGGACGTGTCTCGATGGTGATACCAATACACTTGGTATTGGATTGCTCCGAGTATTTCACGGCTTCAGCCACGTTGTTTGAAGAGTGACCAGAGAGTGCATCGTGTAGATTTCTAATAAAGTAATCTCTGTATTCCGCTGGCAATGACATGAATGTTCCACCCATAATAATAAATTCTACCTTTTCAACACTGTGTCCAAGACGCTTCAATTGATCGATTCTACTCTTTGTTTGGAGATATGGATTGTAACGTGCTCTAATTGCACGCATCGATGTTGGTTCATATCCTGTATATGATTGTGTAGAGTATTCGAAATCTGAATCTGGTCCACCTGGACAATCTATTAATAATTTTAACAAAAAAACGATGTTTAATAAATATTAGTAAACAAATCATCATTTTGATCTTAAATCTAAATAGTTGTCTAAGTAATCCATACAAATACAAATGTTTCCAGTCATTGCAAGATGTGGACATCTATGTGGTTTACACATAACAGCTACAACTGCGATCTATATAGGGAATATATATATATTAATAAAAACGAATTGAATTGAAAGAATAATATTATAGATAGTTACACCTGATGCAGTTCTAACTGGTTTTGCTTTTAATGCAGGTAGCAGAGCAGCTTTGTAATCTTCGGGAATTGCAGAGATAATATCGACTGTCTTTGGTTGATCTGACAATGAGTTCTTGGCGGAGAGATCAGCCTTTACTTTGAGAAGATTGACCTTCTTTCCTTCTTTATATGCATTGATCAATGTATTGACAATCTCTGCAACTGTCTTTGTGAATTGTGGTGTACTCTTTCCATCTGTTTGATGATTATGATAGCACTTAGGTATTAGATATCTATTTCTTCTTTTTTATTTTTATTTTTTTGATCTTTTATCAATAACTTACAAACAGGCTTAGCACCAGCTTTGGTAGACTGCTTTGGGTTGAAATTATCAACCATCAAAGACATTGTTTAATATTTATTTCTTTGATTAGTGATTTAAAACTAATTGAACTATAAATGTGACAGTTATAAATAAAACCGACACAAGGACATTTTAAAAAAAATCGAAGAAACAACTTGAGAAAAAAAGTAAAAACTATCTATATTTATTAGTTATTTAATAATGATAAAGAGGAATCTAATATTTTATTCAAAAGGGGTATTATTTGTAAAAAAAATAAAATTATTAAAATTTTATTGAATTATTCAACAAAATAAAACCAAATTTATATTATCTTTACATTAAATATGCCGTCTTAGCTCAGCTGGTAGTAGCGTAAGACTGAAGATCTTAAGGTCGTTGGTTCGATCCCGACAGATGGCATTTTTAATTTTTAAATTTTTAATTTTTAAATTTTTATTGTCCGCATGCGAAAAGTCCTGTGAAATTTTGAACGCTTTCACCAGGAACCTGGGTGAACTGCATAGAGTCATCCACTGGTTTAACCTGTTCAAGCTATCCACCACTGCGGATGTTAACTCTAGTAAATCGGTTATCATTCCGCTCGGTAACACTTCCACCACCAACCTTCCGTTCCCTGTCTCCACCGTCCCTGAAAGATACTTAGGTGTCAATTTCAACCCGGATGGTCACTGCTCCAAACTGGCAAGTATAATCAATCTTATTAAAGCTAACCTAGCTCTGTATAAGTATAAAGTTTATACTCTAAGAGCTAAATCAACTATCATTAAATCTTATGTGCTTCCCATGCTCTTCTATCACTTCTATCTTGAATCGCCCACACCTGATCAAATCAAGCTTGTCAACAGACTTATCGCTTGGTTCTTCACCAGTGCTCCTGATGCCAAAGCAAAGTTCACCGCTTTGATGTCTTTGGACAGGTCTTGCTTTCACTGGAATGATGGTGGTCTGAATTTGTGGGATCTATCTCTTCGCTCTGCTGCTTATAAGATATGGGTCTTTAATAGATTCCTGTTGTTAAGTAGAAGCAACTCTTTTGGTTACTTCAAAACTTGGTCATCCATGCTTGATTGTGCCAAAAAATTTACTAATCCAACTTCTTCACCATCCTTCAAACTGTTCCATTCGTCTTGGATGGATTTTAGAAACAATCACTTCTCCAGAGTCGTACCGGGCAATCCCATCCTTGCTGATGATGGTAGTCTCCTTACTCTGAAGGAAATCTATTCTGTCCTATTCAACCACAAGTATCCCCGAGTCCGCCGTACTGAAGGTCAACTAACTATCCAGATTGGTCACTCTTTGGTTCTCCAATCTCAGTTCCTGCATATATCCAAGGTCAAAGCGCCTATGCTACGTAACAGCATATTCCGGCTGTACTCTCACACCTTCCCCATCAACCACAAGCGCACTGGTCATGTCTGTGAGTTCTGTGGTGACACCTTCACTGAACTCTGCAACCCACATGAGCATTTCTTCTTCAAATGCAGGAATGTGTTTTCACAGCAGTTCCTTTCCATTATCAAACATATATACCACAAGTACTGTAACTATAGACTTCGCAATTGGAAGCACTCGTGCATCAAGTTCGACGGTCCTATTCGTACTACTGTCCACTTCACCCACCTTACTGCTGCTATCGTACATTCGTTATGGCAGGCGCTGTCCTGTGAAATGTTTGGTGATGGTACCCATTACAAGCTGGAAAATACCGTCAAAAGAGCAGTCACCCATTACACCAAATTAATCGATGCCAATTACCACAAGCTTAATTTCACAATCGCTAATTCTATCTCCCAAGGAATCACTGTCGATTGCTCTGCATTAACGCGTAAATTTAAATCTGATTGGAATTTAAATCCTTCCAACTACGTGCCACCGCTTTATACTGTTGTTCATCAACACGCAACTACTGTTAGATCTATTCTATCCTAATACTACTCAACTTATTAATTAATAATAACTATAACAATAATAATAATAACAATAATAACAATAATAATAATAATAATAATAATAATAATAATAATAATAATAACATTTTATTGGCTATATTTCTCACGGCCTGTGTGAGAATGTAAATATAATATAAAACACGAACTAGCAGGTTAATATCAATACCTGCAATTTGTTGACTGATCATGAGTCAACAAATTTTTTTTTTGCAAAAAAAAAAAAAAAAAAAAAAAAATTTCTCTCAATTAGTTTTGTATATATTTATTTATTTATCTGTAAATTAAAACTTTAGTCACATTTGTATGGTAAAAATTAACTTATATTTGTTCAATCACAGCATTGTTAAGTTGATTTTTACTTTTTTAACATAAAGCCTTTTTTTGCAATCATCACTCGTTTTTATTCATTTTTTTTTTCATTTTATCAAATTTTTTAGAAATCCTAGAACGTCACTGTCATTTTACATTCTGCTATTCTAGTCCGTTGGGATGACTTCGCCCTCTTGTGACTGCGCTACACAAAAAAGTGGTTCTTATAGTGTGCTGAGAATCATGTAGATTGGTGTAAAATTGTTTGATGATTCTGGCGAGATCGATATTATGGTTTGAGATATCTTTCGAACCTACGCTGGCAAATGATAACAATCAATCATTTATACCTCAGACGGGATAGAGGATATGGTATCCATCCGTATGTCATACTATTCACATTGGTATTCGCTCTTAGTCGGGTGAAAGTGAACAGATACCAGTACTTAATGGATATAGCAGCGATCAACAATCGAGAATAGACACACTCCTTAATGATTTAACAGCAAATCATACGCCTTGTCAACGTAGATAGAAGCCATCATATCGTGGAATGTGGCGATGGAAATTTAATAGTTAGAATGACTAGATATAGAATCTAGAAATGGTAAAGTTCATAAAACAATTCTTTTAGGATATGGGAGAATCGTTCTTTATTTTATATGTTATGAAAATAGACACTAATCAAATAAAACAAAGATAAAAAGTTTGATAGAAATTATTTATAAAATAAGAATATATTTGTTTTTAGAAAATTCCAATACACAAAATAATTATTAAATTTCTTTTTATTATTGTACATTGTTTAAAATTTGTTCAAGTTTGGAATGGTGAAATATTTTAGCAATTAATTTTGCAGATAAATCATTCATTATATAATATTCTTTATCCAACTTTCTAATAGTTTTTGTTATATTACAAATGATTTTGTTGATTGATTTGATTGAGCTGCCAATGGTGATATTGATATCAGAACGATTTTCAAGGACAAGTGTTCTGAGTGTTGATGGTATTAAATGTAAAATATTATTGATTTCATTTTTACCAATATCCATATATTCAATGGTGTTTGGTAGTTTAACTATTTTAGGAGGTCCATCTTTGAATGTTGGAAGACGTAATTCTCTTAATGAGCATGATTGATCAGCAGAACCATCTCCAACAAAGTCAATTATATTCTCATTTGAATTTAACCAATTAAAAAACAATGTAATTTTTCCAACGCCAGATGGTAGAGTTATCGTTGATTCTCTTGATTCTCCACATATTATCAATTCATCGATCCTTATGTTTGATGCGATTGTAAGAATACTATTATATTCATATTGGAATAATTCAAAGTGATATTGCAATGTTTCTGGGAAAATTTCATTGATATTAAATTGACAATCATCAAGATTGACTCTTTTCAATGATGTTGGCATTGTTCCTCTCAATTTCGTTCGTATGTTACAGTAGAATGATTTTATAGTTCGAGGGAGGTAGTTGACATTGAAAATTGTGGTATCTCTACCAACTTCATCATGAAAATCAACTGTAAGTGATTGAAGTTTGGAAAGTGATGATATGGCTTGTAACCACGATATTGGTAAACAAGATTCGGCTGAATATTGTAAATCTTCTAGGTTTGGTTGTAATGCTACAGGTTCGGGTGGTGGAATATAACTATAAAGATATAAACGTTCAAGAGACAATGGAAGTACTCCTGGTTGAATTTCATATTGATAATAATATCTGCCTTCTACGAACAATTCTAGCAAACCAACTGGAAGTACACCCTGTTTAATTTCGAAATCGTAGGAAGAGAAAATACAATCGAGTAAACCAACTGGAAGTACACCTGGTAGAATTTCATGTTGGTATTTGAAAAAAGAAATTACACGTAAACCATCTGGAAGTACACCCGGTCGAATTGTTTGTCGATATTTGATTAGAGAAAGATTTTGCAAACCTTCTGGAAGTGCGCCTTGGGGAATTTCAATTTGATAGTTGTCTAGAGTAAGTGTGTGCAAACCATCGGGAAGTACACCAGGCCGAACCGCTTTTTCGATAGTATTATTAAAATTCAACACTTTTAATGAATTGGGAAATGATCCTTTCAAAAGTGGTTCATTAAAATTCTTCAATTCAACAGATTTGACTGAATTTGATAATCCATATTTCAATGTCTTGCATCCATCCAACTTTGTAACTGATTGTGATTCTGATATCAGTTTATAGAGATACTCCTGCTCCTCTTCTAAAAAAGATTTGGGAGAAATATAGATATTTGAAACATTGTCGGGAATACTTTTGAGATTTCTAACATCATCTTTTAGAATGATAAAGTAGTCAGTTTCATGAATAAATTCAATCGTATAGCTTTATCAAATGAAAATAAATACCTATATTATAATCTTTTTTGGTATAACCAATAAAAAGTCTACAATCAGTCTTTGATTGAATTGATTTAATAAAGATATTATTATATGATGGTAATTTGAAATGTTTATGATATTGATTGATATCAGTGGTATTAAGTGGAAATATGGGGATACTATCAGTGTTGAATATTAAATATTTATCTCGATCATTGTACCATCTCTTGCAAACTAAACTGAAACAAATGCGATCAACGATATCTTTTAAGTTGCTTATTATTTTATTTAATATTAAATGTGATAGATTTACTATTTTATCTGTTTTATTATTCATTTTATCTAAATTTTTTTTAAAGATCAAAGTATTTTTTTTTTTTTTGAAATTTTTCTTGTGACCTCTTATTTTTTTTTTATTTTTTGAAATTAGTCCTTTGAAGTAGAAAGGGAGCCAGTTTTGTTTTAGACTATTAAAAAAAAAATAATAAAAACATATAAACAATTATTAAAAAATAAAATAAAATATTCATTATTTTTGATAAATTCGATATCAACTGGTAGAGTAACTATATAGGTTAAAGAGATTGATACCCAGCATGCTTGGCAGTGAGTGATAGTTATGCTTTGACAGAGCAACCTACCGGTGGTTCACTAATTGTTTATAGAACGCAACCAACAAACACTACAAATGCTACCAACAACAACAAGGGAAGAAGAGAGAATTGTCTTTGTTGTATTTCAGAAGTTCGTTGTTGTTGTTGCTGTGGTTGTAGTTGCTGTAATTGGAGTTGTTGAATTTTCTCTTGAAAGCAATAACTATCGATATGAAATGCAACCAGGTGTACTTCCATTGTCTCTCGAAAATTTATCTCTTAATAGTCATCCATCTGAGGATGAATTACCACCAACCCTAGGAGATCAACAATATCCGGTGGCAACATGTTTACCAATTTCATGGTTACAAGCGATATCATCACTTCCAAACCTTCAAAAACTTTATGTTTATTTTTCCTATGATGTTAATTAAGATACTATACTCAATCTCGAGTACCTCCCACCAACTCTAGAATATTTAGAATATTTTAATACCAAGAACGAAATTGAAAGGAGCAATGCCCACATCTTTGAAAAGCATGACCTTGATGAGTGTCAATTTCAGGTGAGAAGATATTGACTTTGATGGAGATGGTAATACCGATCAAGCATGTTCATTAAGAAAAGTGGCATTTCTCATTCGACAATGGAACACCACAAGTTAAACTACCAAACACCGTCGAATTTCTAGATCTTGGTTATAATGATCTCGATGATAATATATTACAGTGGGTACCTTCATCAGTAAAAACTCTTAAAACTCCTAAAATCAATATCACCATTCCCAAAATCAAATCAATAACCAATATCATTAGAAATTTTATTCTTTTCCAAACTATTCGAAAGTTGGATGAAAATTATTATTTAATCTATGGTGACTATGAAAGCATAGATGATTCAGTAAACATAATTGCCAAGATATTTCATCACTCTAAACTTGAGAAAATCTTGGGCACAAAAATAGAATAAAAGAAAATTATTGGTGTTTCAATCAATCTATAGATTGTTTCTTTTAAAAATAAAATTAATTTTGTAACAGACGCTGTGTCTTTTGTTTTTTTTTAATTATTATTTTGATTTATCTGATGTTATAATTTTGTAAAGTTATATTGATTGTATTTATTGTAATTATGTTGTATTTGTTGTAATTTTAATTTGATTAATGATTCCAATTATATATGATTATTGATTTATAAATCTTCATCGTCATCTGGAACTAAAGGGAGTACCATTGCTCTTTGTAGTTCTTCTTCGTATCTTCTTAGTTGATCAGGATCGATTGCAACTGATGGAATATCTAATAAAGGTGGTTCTACCAATGAAACTTGTTTATTTCTAAACAAACAAAATATCAATGAAAATGTTAATATTTAGAAAGATAATAAAATAAAGATTATACAATAAAGATTGTTATTAATAATAATATTTACCCAAGTAATTTAGAGAGGAGATAGGTAAATGGTTTTTCAAAGTTGTAGTTTGATTTGGCAGAGATATCATAGTATCCAAGTCCAAACTTTCTGTGGAATGTGATCTGGGAGGGTTTAACTTTTCTATCTTTGACATCCACTTTGTTTCCCAATATCACAACTGGGATATCTTCACACACTCGACGAAGATCTGAGAACCAATTGGGAATGTTCTTGTATGTCATTCTTGAGGTTACATCGAACATTAACATTGCACACTGCGCATTGATACTGGTAAAAAATAAATAAATGATTATTAGATATGTTAAACTCTTTCATTCATTGTTTTGTTGCTTTGTTGATACATACTAGTATCCATCTCTTAATCCTCCATATTGTTCGTTTCCAGCGGTATCCCACACATCAAAAAGGATCTTTCCATAATTCGTATAAAATGGTAATGGATTGACTTCACATCCAACCGTTGCTATAAATTGTTTAAATTTTAAATTAGTATTTATATTTTAAATAAAATATCTTTTTGTTTAATTTTTATACTTACGAATGTATCTTGCTTGGAATTCTCCAGAGACATGGCGTTTAACATAACATGTCTATTTGAATGAAATAAATAAAATTAGTTAGATTTGATTTCGATAAACAAAATGAATTTTGAAAATAATTTTAAACTTACTTTTCCTACACCTCCATCTCCAATGAGCACTATTTTAATAGATGCAGCAATTGGAGTTTGTGACTTTTTAATATCAGTTAGTTCTAACCATTAAATATAAATCATCACCTGATGATTTAGTTTGTTTTGATCTTCAAAAACATTCTTACTTTATTGATTGTTGTCATTTTATTTATCTTTTGTGATTTAGAATTATTAATTATATATGAATTGAATATTGAATATTGAATATTATTAGTTGATAAATATGAATGATAACTAGGTTATTACATTTTTAATATTTATAGTCTTTCTTTTTTGAATGTTTTATTGATTGTGTGTTTTTTGGTGGCACTGACACATAACCAGCAGTGCACCACATCACCCAACCATTACTTTTTTTTTTATAAGATTTTTAATTTTTTTTTTTTTTAATTTTTTCATTCAAAAAAAAAAAGAAATAAGAAAAGTCTTTATAAAAATAACGTTTTGATTTAATATTTCTTTGAATAAAAAATAATAATATATCTTTTTTGTTTTAGTGCACTGATTATTTATAGATTAATATAACAATCTTTAATTTTTTTCAAAAGAAAAGTTCTAGATTTTATAAAAAACATAGCTAATTTGGTCTCTTGAATTGGAAGTTGAATTGTATAAACTATCATTTATTAAAAAAATTTATTAGAAAAAGAAGTTAGAGCTTAAAACAAAAAGTATTCAAAGTTACAAAACATTTTCTTTATTTATTTATATAGTGGATCACTTAAAAACAATGACAGCTTTGAATGATGGAATATTTTGGTAACTGACTCAAAATTATAGCTTCCTAAAATAATATAGTAATTTTCATCCAACTTTCTGATTGCAAAGTGCCCAGGCATAATGAAATTGGTGATATTTTTGATGTTTTGTGGAATGTCATTCAATAGTTGAACAGGTTTTATGAATATGATGGTTTTAACTGATGTTGGAATTAAGTCCATGCATTCACTCAGTTCGTTATCGAATATATGAATCGTCTCGATGGAGTTTGGCAATACAATTGGAAGCTTGGTATTCTTGAATGGAATTTTCAACTCGGTGACTGTTCGAGGTATTCGACATTCAATCAATTTAGTGTAGAACCAACTCTCTGTATTAAATGAAACTGATTGGATTTGATGTGGAATTGATGTAACAGGTTCCTTGAGTTCAACTACCAATCTGTCAATCGATATATTATTTGGAATCTGAGATGGGTCTATGCTGCATTCAAATCGTTCAAAGTGATATTGCAATGTTTTCGGAAATAGTTTGTCAAAGTCGAGTTTACTCTTTCTTAAAACCAAGTTGGTTATCGATGTTGGAACTGTTCCAGTCAAAAGATAAGCTCTTTCCATTTTAAAAGTCTTTAGGTTGTTTGATGGTAACTGATCAAAGTTGATTGTACCACTATCATTTAGATTTTGGTTTGTGACACTGAGAGAATGCAAGTTTGGTAGATGTAATACTGGAAGCCATGAGTGAGGTATACCTTTCAGAATTTTCAGAGATTGTGGTAGTACTCCAGGATCTTCAATTGGAAGTATCCGATGTTCTGATAGAGTTAGTTTTTCCAAACTATGTGGTAGTGATCCAACTTTGAGAGGCATTTCACTGCTAATACTCAAGACTTTAAGTGAAGCTGGAAGTACTCCTATTTCAGGTGAAATTTTATAAACCCAACCATACTTGAGGATAACCAAACTCTCTGGAAGAATGCCATGTTTGATCTGTTTATTGAAATAGGTTCCGAATTCCAGTGTAACCAAGTTAGCTGGAAGACATCCTTTGACAAGTTCATCATTAAAATACGATGCTAAACTTAGTTTTCTGATTGATTGTGGTAATCCATATTTAAGTGTTCCACATCTATTCAATTCCGTGACTGATTGTGATTTATTCAGTGCTCTATAAAAGTGTATTAAATCTTCTTCATCGAAAAAATCTGTCTTAATATCAATTTTGGTAATGTATGATGGAAAATATTCTATTTCTCTAATTTTATCTTTAAAAATGAATTTAATAAATATATATCTTATCAGGAATATTGTTTAAAATGTCTAATAGTTTGTTTAGTTACCTTCATAATAAATAAAATTTTGAGTTCTTTGCATTTCCCAAAATGTAATTAGATTAAATTTATTCTTTGCAATAATAAGCACACAATCATTCTTTGATTCAATCGATTTATGAAATATATTTTCATACGACTTCAATCTGAAATACTGATTATTTTTAAAATCTTTAATTTCAATACTATTCACACTCGAGATATAGATATTATCAGTGTTGAATATTAAATATTTATCTCTATCATCAAACCATCTCTTACAAACTAAACTGAAACAGATTTTATCAATGTTATCATCTATTAAATTTGTAATTTTATTTAAAATTAAATGTGATAGATTTACTATTGTATTTGTTTGATTATTCATTGTGTAACTGATCGATCTCTTATTAAATAAAAATGAAAAATAAATAATCAAAAAAGAAAACAACTAGTTCTATCAAAGTTTTTCTTTTTTTTTTCTGTTTTTGATCATAAAAAAATAAATAAATGAAGGATAACTATTAGTAATGAACACCTCTGATTACGTTTAACAACAAATGAAATAAAACAAACGATATCGATGTCAGATTCATTGGTAATCGATATAATGTGCTACAATATCTTAGTTTCTTTACATTTGAACTCGATATAATTCTATTATATCCGATTTTACTATACTAATATTAACACCTTGTAGATATTCGATTGCTTAACAAAATCATTTATATTATCTATTGAAATGAGTCGATAAAATTTATTAGTATTTTAATTTGTCAATGAGATTATAGTCATTCGTTTCATTAATGATTAATTACTTCTTTGTAACAAAAGTTTGAATGTCAAAAATAAAAAAAAAGAAAAATTAAAAAATAAAATAAAAAAATCTAGAAAAGAGTGGGTGATGTGGTGCACTGCTGGTTCGATGTCAGTGCCACCAAAAAACACAATCAATAAAACATTCAAAAAGAAAGACTATAAATATTAAAAATGTAATAACCTAGTTATCATTCATATATATCAACTAATAATATTCAATATTCAATATTCAATTCATATATAATTAATAATTCTAAATCACAAAAGATAAATAAAATGACAACAATCAATAAAGTAAGAATGTTTTTGAAGATCAAAACAAACTAAATCATCAGGTGATGATTTATATTTAATGGTTAGAACTAACTGATATTAAAAAGTCACAAACTCCAATTGCTGCATCTATTAAAATAGTGCTCATTGGAGATGGAGGTGTAGGAAAAGTAAGTTTAAAATTATTTTCAAAGTTTATTTTTTTTATCGAAATCAAAGCTAACTAATTTTATTTATTTCATTCAAATAGACATGTTATGTTAAACGCCATGTCTCTGGAGAATTCCAAGCAAGATACATTCGTAAGTATAAAAATTAAACAAAAAAAAAAGATATTTTATTTAAAATATAAATACTAATTTAAAATCTATCAAACAATTTATAGCAACGGTTGGATGTGAAGTCAATCCATTACCATTTTATACGAATTATGGAAAGATCCTTTTTGATGTGTGGGATACCGCTGGAAACGAACAATATGGAGGATTAAGAGATGGATACTAGTATGTATCAACAAAGCAACAAAACAATGAATGAAAGAGTTTAACATATCTAATAATCATTTATTTATTTTTTACCAGTATCAATGCGCAGTGTGCAATGTTAATGTTCGATGTAACCTCAAGAATGACATACAAGAACATTCCCAATTGGTTCTCAGATCTTCGTCGAGTGTGTGAAGATATCCCAGTTGTGATATTGGGAAACAAAGTGGATGTCAAAGATAGAAAAGTTAAACCCTCCCAGATCACATTCCACAGAAAGTTTGGACTTGGATACTATGATATCTCTGCCAAATCAAACTACAACTTTGAAAAACCATTTACCTATCTCCTCTCTAAATTACTTGGGTAAATATTATTATTAATAACAATCTTTATTGTATAATCTTTATTTTATTATCTTTCTAAATATTAACATTTTCATTGATATTTTGTTTGTTTAGAAATAAACAAGTTTCATTGGTAGAACCACCTTTATTAGATATTCCATCAGTTGCAATCGATCCTGATCAACTAAGAAGATACGAAGAAGAACTACAAAGAGCAATGGTACTCCCTTTAGTTCCAGATGACGATGAAGATTTATAAATCAATAATCATATATAATTGGAATCATTAATCAAATTAAAATTACAACAAATACAACATAATTACAATAAATACAATCAATATAACTTTACAAAATTATAACATCAGATAAATCAAAATAATAATTAAAAAAAAACAAAAGACACAGCGTCTGTTACAAAATTAATTTTATTTTTAAAAGAAACAATCTATAGATTGATTGAAACACCAATAATTTTCTTTTATTCTATTTTTGTGCCCAAGATTTTCTCAAGTTTAGAGTGATGAAATATCTTGGCAATTATGTTTACTGAATCATCTATGCTTTCATAGTCACCATAGATTAAATAATAATTTTCATCCAACTTTCGAATAGTTTGGAAAAGAATAAAATTTCTAATGATATTGGTTATTGATTTGATTTTGGGAATGGTGATATTGATTTTAGGAGTTTTAAGAGTTTTTACTGATGAAGGTACCCACTGTAATATATTATCATCGAGATCATTATAACCAAGATCTAGAAATTCGACGGTGTTTGGTAGTTTAACTTGTGGTGTTCCATTGTCGAATTGAGAAAATGCCACTTTTCTTAGTGAACATGCTTGATCGGTATTACCATCTCCACCAAAGTCAATTATCTTCTCACCTGAATTTGTCCAATCTAATAAAAGATAGATGTTTTCAACACCAGATGGAAGAGTTATCTTTGGTTCACTTGAATTTCCAGTCATTGATAATGTTTCGATCTTTATGTTTGATGGAATTGAATGTATAATCTTATTTCGATATTGAAACATCTCCAAATGATATTGTAATGTTTCTGGGAATATTTCATCGATCTTAAATTGACACTCATCAAGGTCAATGCTTTTCAAAGATGTGGGCATTGTTCCTTTCAATATCGTTTTTGGTACTAAATATTCTAAAAATTCTAGAGTTGGTGGGAGGTAGTCGAGATTGAGTATAGTATCTTCATTAACATCATTGGAAAAAAAAACATAAAGTTTTTGAAGGTTTGGAAGTGATGATATCGCTTGTAACCATGAAATTGGTAAACATGTTGCCACCGGATATTGTTGATCTCCTAGGGTTGGTGGTAATTCATCCTCAGATGGATGACTATTAAGAGATAAACATTCAAGAGACAATGGAAGTACTCCTGGTTGCATTTCATATCGATAGTTATTGCTTTCAAGAGAAAATTCTAGCAATCCATTTGGAAGTACACCCGGTTTAATTTCGAATTCATAGGAATTGAGATGACATTCAAGTAAACCATCTGGGAGTGCACCTGGTCGAATTTCACCTTGACAGTCACAAAAAGTAAATTTAAGTAAACTAGCTGGAAGTACACCTGGGTGAATTTCATAATGATAGTTGTCAAGAGTAAATTCAAGTAAACTAACTGGAAGTACACCTGGTCGAATTTCATATTGGTAGCTGTATATTTTAAGTTTACTCAAACCTTCTGGAAGTACGCCTGGTAGAATCTCTTGTTTGAAATTACTGTTGAAAACTAACTCTTCTATTGAATTGGGAAGTGATCCTTTCACAAGTGGTTCATTGAAATGCTTAAATCTAATGGTTTTGATTGACTTTGGTAATCCATATTTCAATGTGCTACAACCGTCCAACATTGTTACTGATTGTGATTCTGATATTAATTGATAGAGATGCTTCAGTTCATCTGCAAATAATTTAAATCTAATATCAATATAGATATTTGAAACATTGTTGGGAATACTATTTAGTTTTCTAATATCATCTTTTATTAAAATAGTCAGTTTTAAAACAAAATGATCTTTATCGATTTAAAATACTTACTAAAATGATAATCGCAATAACTATAGTTTTTATTGCCAACAAAAAGTGAACTAATAGTCTTTGATTGAATTGATTTCTTAAAGATATTATTATATGATGTTAATTTGAAATGTTTATGATTTTTTTTCGTATCAGTGCTATTAAGTGCAAATAATTTGATACGATCAGAGTTGAATATTAAATATTTATCTCTTTCGTTGTACCATCTCTTACAAACTAAACTGAAACAAATGCGATCAATGTTATCATACACATAACTAATAATTTTATTTAATATTAAATGTGATAGATTTACTATTTTATTTGTTTGATTATTCATTATTTAATTAATAAGATATCAAGATAAGATTTTTGGGCATCAAATTTTTGTTTGAAAAAATGACCATTTTTATTTTCATAAAAAAAAAAAAAACAATTTTAGCGATTTTTTGATAAATTTAATGGATTTCTCTAGGATTGTCTATCATTATATCTTTGTTTTATTTATGAGGTGTTCATTTCAGAAAGTTATTCTTCTTACATAGTAGATATTGTCTTTAATTAAAGATTATATAGTTTATTAGTTTAAGTCTTGGTGAATAATCAAATGCTTTGCAGTGTGTTAATTGAGAGTACTCTGTAGTTAAGTGTTCAGATGTGTTTTGTAGAAGGTATTTAATGATTGGAACATTATCTTTTTTAATTGCATTTGCATTACGTCAGATATCCATGAGTCTGATGAACATCCTTCGGGTAGGTTACAAAGTAAATACTTGAATATATTCTAATTGAAAGTTGACCTTCACCATGTACAGCATACCTAACTCCGACTACTTGTTCAACAATGTCACCATCACATGGTAACTTCATTTTCTTGTGTAGATATTTGGGTGTTTCCAGATGTCCATTCACAGCTCTTTTGTTTCAAAAAAAAACATAAGAAAAAAATATCTTAAAATTCATTATTAGACTCTCTAGATTATCTATCATGTATCTTTTTTTTATTCCTTGTTGGAAACACAATTTTTTATACAAACTTTTTTATTTATTTTTTTTGATCTTACAATTAGACTCCTACTAGTGCTTTAGTGACTTGTCAATCGTTCTAGAACCCCAGGGTTGTTAGTTCTCTAACACTCTGAAATATCTTGTTTTTTATCACTACTGAACGAAGTAATCTCTTAAATGAAATCGAGCTCCAAATCGATGTATGTATTCTTTATTATTACTAATCATTTTTCAAAATTTCACAATCGCAGAGCTAAATGCACATCTACAGCAATGCACATGGCAGCAGTAAACGGACACATTGAAGTGGTCAGATTCCTTCATGAAAACAGAACTGAAGGTTGTCGAGAGGATACAATGGGAGAAGTTGCAAAGAATGTTCATTTTGAGACATTCAAATATATTTTTTAGCATAAAAAAGAATTAGATATTCCAGCTAACTCGATGAATTTGTTTGCTTTTTATAAAGATAGTAGTGCACTTCAATGGTTCAAAGACAATACAACTCTACAGTGCTCAGAATCTAGCTATAGATATGCAATACGTCAAGCAAATCTACCAATTATCGAATGGATTCGTGATAATACACGTCTTCCATTTCCAAAGAATGCTTTGTATTTATCGAGTAGCGGGGGAAACAGTGATCTCAGAATCGTTCAATATCTGCTGGATAATGGTGTAGCCTATACTGAAAGTGCAATGGACAATTGTCCTAAACTTTCAATATTTGAATATTTACATTTTAATCGATCAGAAGGATGTTCATCAGAAGCACTGGCAAATGTAATTGAAAATGAAAATGTTTCAATCATCAAATTCCATTTACAAAATAGAACTGAACATTTAGATTCAAATTATAGTCTATACTATGTAGATATCCACAAAACGTTTGACTATCCATCTAGACTTAAACTAATAAAACAATATAATCTTTAAATAAAGAAAATTTAAACACTCTCTTAAAAAAAACAATTCTGTCCATCAGTACATCATCGAATTCACTGAGATCCTTTCTGTGGTTCAATCAATGGCTTGGTTTCTTTCTAAAAACAAAAACTTTTAAAAACTAAAAAAACTATAAGAATACAAAAACAGGAGATTTATTTTTAATTTATAGATGAAATCTAAAGACCATATTGTTTTATAAGTTTAAGTCTGGATGGATAGTAAAATGTTTTGTTGTCTTTTAAACTTTGTTGAGAATAATCCAAATGTTCATCAGTACTATTTTGAAGAAGGAATTTGATAATTGGAACATTATTCTTTTCAATTGCACTTATCAATGTTTCTTTGTCAGATTTCAAAGATTGGGTATAATATAAAAACTTAAATATTGAAAGTTTATGACAACTTTTCAATTCTTTTACTGAACAGGTTTCACCATTGGCATGAAGATATTGAACGATTCTGAGATCACTATTCTTGAACTTTGATGCATATTCCAATGAATTCGCTGGAAATGGAAGACTTGTATTATCACGAATCCATTCGATCACTGGTAGATTTGCTTCACGTATTGCATAACTATAAGCATACTGTGAACATTGTAGAGTTGTATTGTCTTTGAACCATTGAAGTGCACTGCTATCTTTATACTTGGCAAAGAAGTCGATCGCGTTTGTTGGAATATCTAATTCTTTTTTATTTTCAAAAAGATATTTGAATGTCTCGAAATGAACATTCATTGCAACACGTTTCATTGTATCTTTTCGACAACCTTCAGTTCTATTTTCATGAAGGAATCTGACCACTTCAACGTGTCCGTTTACTGCTGCCATGTGCATTGCTGTAGATGTGCAATCAATATGATGTTTACTGTGAAGTTGTTTGATAAACTCTAGATCACCATGACAAGCAAGAGAATCCATTGTAATACTACTCAACTTGGCAGTCGTATTCTCTACTAAATACTTAACTAGTTCAATCTTACCAATCTTGGCAGCCTCATCAATCAACGTATTTGGAAGTTGTTGCTTGGTGTTCTCCATGAGGTATTTGACTATAGCAAGATGACCTTCAACTTGTTCATTAACTCCAACTACTTGTTCAACAATGTCACTGTCGCACTGTAACTTCATGTTCTCGTGTAGATATTTGAGTGTTTCCAGTTGTCCATTCACAGCTGCATTTAATATTAAATTATTTGGTGTGTTCGTTTGTTTCTCTTTATCATTCAAATACTTTATAATTTCAAGATTTCCACTACTGACAGCATTGAAATATGTGAGACTCGCAGGCCTTTCAGATCTATTCTCGTAAAGCCATTTGAATACTTGAAAACTACCAGATGCAACATTATTCAATACTCTTGAACCTTGTGATTTGAACCATCGCGGTGCTTTATTATGAAGGAATTGAATGATCTCTAGATTATTCATGTAGTGACCCCTATTGACGTAAAGAGTATATTCTAATTCATTCAATGGGAATAACTTTTGAATGAACTCTAAAACATCTAGATTTCCAACATCGAATGCATTCCTCGATGAATCTAAATATAATTGTCTAAAATTTCTGATTGTATTCAAAACAATGCGATCTTCCACTATATGATTAATATGTTCTATTTTATTTCTAATTAATGTATTGCATATCTGTTTATATCTTTCGATATAATTGAACTTGATCAGCTGATCTGGGAAACATCCAAGATCATACCAATCACATCTCAATGAATTGATTGCAAGTTGATCATGAATATCTCTAACACTCTGAAATATCTTGTTTCTTAAAACTACTGAATGAAGTAATCTCTTAAATGAAATCGTTGTGTATTCTTTATTTTGTATCATTGTTTGTTTTTTATTGATAGATATAAATGATTATTTTTTTCAGTCATACAAAGTGGTTTTGTTTTTTTTTTACCAAAAAAGATTTGTTACCAAATCATGATTTTTTTCATTTTAAAATATATTTTTCTTTAGGAAGTGAGAAACCAGTTTTTTATATTATAATTATTCTATTTTGATCGATTTTACAAATATATATCAAATATTTATAATTTAAATCATTTCAGCTACAAGTTCAGCAAATATGAATAAAAGATGAACAGAGTTCACAATAAAGAACCTTAAAAAATATGAATAATATTAAAAAATAAATATTTTGTTTATTTTTTTGTATCTTGTTTTTCTTCTTGTATTGTATCTTCTTATCTTGTTGCTTATCTTGTTTCTTATCTTGTTGCTTATCTTGCGGTATCTTCCTTTTCTTTTTTTAATTCTCTTCTTCCCTTTTAAATCCTATAGTCTTCTTCAACTACTTTCTGAAACATGGCTGGAATGTGTTAATTTGTTTTGTAAATGTATTTCCAAAAAAAAGCGATTAAATTATCGTTGAATGTTATGTTCTTAATATCATCACATTTTTGTTTCATAATATCATCTAGTATTCTTAATGCTGTTGGTTTCCTCTGATGTTTGTTGATTTCTATTTGGCGATTGATACAAGTATTAGATTTTAGAAACAATATTTTTTATTTTATTTTATTTTTTTTTTGAAAAAAAGATTTGTTGACTCACGATCAGTCAACAAATTGCAGGTATTGATATTAACCTGCCAGTTCGTGTTTTATATTATATATACATTCTCACACAGGCCGTGAGAAATAGCCCATAAAATATTATTATTATTATTATTGTTTATAGTTATTATTAATTAATAAGTTTAGTAGTATTAAGATAGAATATATCTAACAGTAGTTGAGTGATGATGAACAACAGTATAAAGTGGTGGCACGTAGTTGGAAGGATTTAGATTCCAATCAGATTTAAATTTAGGCGTTATTGCAGAGCAATCGACAGTGACTCCTTGGGAGATATAATTAGCTATTGTGAAGTTAAGCTTGTGGTAATTGGCATCGATTAATTTGGTATAATGGGAGACTGCTCTCTTGACGGTATTTTCCAGCTTGTAATGGGTACCATCACCAAACATTTTACAGGACAGCGCCTGCCATAACGAATGTACGATAGCAGCAGTAAGGTGGGTGAAGTGGACAGTAGTACGAATAGGACCGTCGAACTTGATGCAAGAGTGCTTCCAATTACGAAGTCTATAGTTACAGTACTTGTGGTATATATGTTTGATAATGGAAAGGAACTGCTGTGAAACTACATTCCTGCTTTTGAAGAAGAAATGCTCATGTGGGTTGCAGAGTTCAATATCAGTGAAGGTGTCACCACAGAACTCACAGACATGACCAGTGAGCTTGTGGTTGATGGGGAAGGTGTGAGAGTACAGCCGGAATATGCTGTTACGTAGCATAGGCGCTTTGACCTTGGATATATGCAGAAACTGAGATTGGAGAACCAAAGAGTGACCAATCTGGATGGTTAGTTGACCTTCAGTACGGCGGACTCGGGGATACTTGTGGTTGAATAGGACAGAATAGATTTCCTTCAGAGTAAGGAGACTACCATCATCAGCAAGGATGGGATTGCCAGGTACGACTCTGGAGAAGTGATTGTTTCTAAAATCCATCCAAGACGAATGGAACAGTTTGAAGGATGGTGATGAAGTTGGATTAGTAAATTTTTTGGCACAATCAAGCATGGATGACCAAATTTTGAAGTAACCAAATGAGTTGCTTCTACTTAACAATAGGAATCTATTAAAGACCCATATCCTATAGGCAGCAGAACGAAGAGATAGATCCCACAAATTCAGACCACCTGTTGGAGACGTCGTTAAATCGTGATAATAACGACATACAGCAAAAATCTATGAAACCGGACAGAGGTATCAAAATATCAAACAGTAATACATTTATTTGTTATAGAAACTAATAAATATATTCTAAGATAGATCTTTGTAAATGATTAATAATTAAAAAGAAATTGAATCATTTATCATTTTAAAAAAAAAATAAAAAATAAAAGATAAAATTAATTTGTGCAATATTTCTGAAGTGATAAAATATTTTTTATTATAGTACTTTTAAATTTATTTTGAAAAATTTAATTATATTATATATAAGAATGATACCAAGTAAAATGTTAACAGAAAGATAAAAGATTTGTGGAATACTTCATTTGGATTACTGAACGGCACAAGAAGTTATTGGTTTAAAATACAATTCTAATTTTCAACAGTTTCAAGACTAAAGAAAAACTAAGCAAAAACAAACTCATCACTGAACACAAATACTATATGTATAAAAAGAATAAATATTTAAAAGATTACAATTATATTTAAAATAAAATTTAAAATTTTTTTTAAAAATCAATTATATCATTAAAAAAACAAAGGATAACAATACATTTTTAAAAAGATAAATCAATAACATTATTAGAAGAATAATAAAGGATTAAGGAATTACTTTCAGAAATAAATCAAAAAAAAACCTTTTAGACTCTTCTTCATATTCAAAATGTAAAGGTTTTTAACTGATTTTACATAAACAAGGATATTGTTTTTTTAGAAAAGTAATTTAACAGATGAAACGAAAATAAAACAAGGAGAGTATAGTATAAAGAAAGTTTATTCTTTAAAGGAGTTCCCGATTATAGAACAACTAATATTCTATCATTAAGTTGAAAGTGGTAGATTCAAATTCAATCTTTTCTCTCATTAATTTATTATGGAACTGGATACTTAGACAATCTATCTTAAGCTCTAGATTCCCAGATTTTTTAGAAATTTTAGAGTATGATATAGATCGACGAATAAATAATATTGTTTAACTAATTTTAGTATATTCCACAACTGTACAAGACATCTCACTTGTCATCAATATTCTAAATCTCATAATATTTTTTACTTAAAATGCATTCTTAACTAAATTTGATATATAAACAAACTAGTCAGGACCTGAATGTTTTTTAAAATTCTTGGGTATTCTTGAGATAAATATATATACTAGATGCCATTCATTCTAAACTCAATAGAGCTCTTAAATAATGTTAATAGTGGTGATATGAAATGACACCGGAGTACTGCCAATCACTATATGAATCAATACCAAACAGATTGAATCAAGTAATCCTCAACCAAGGTTATTGTACATCCTATTAATTGTTTTCTTTTAAATCAATTTAAATGTATATAAATAAAAAATATTTTATCACTTCAGAAATATTGCACAGTTAATTTTAGTTTTTTATTTTTTTATTTTTTTTTAAAATGGTAAATATTTCAATTTTTTTCTAATAATTAATCTTTAACAAAGATCTATCTTAGAATATATTTATTAGTTTCTATAACAAATAAATGTATTACTGTTTGATATTTTGATACCTCTGTCCGGTTTCATAGATTTTTGCTGTAGTGTAATAGTATAATGATGTTATAATAATAAATAGTTTATGTGTTTAAAGATGATGTTAAAATATAATGAATTTAATAATGTTTATTGAGTTCTTGTTTGCGCTTAAATACATTGTGTTCATTGATCGGGTTGGCAGTAGTCGGTTGACTGATATCTTGGAACTACGATTCCAACACCACCATCATTCCAGTGAAAGCAAGACCTGTCCAAAGACATCAAAGCGGTGAACTTTGCTTTGGCATCAGGTGCACGGTGAAGAACCAAGCAATAAGTCTGTTGACAAGCTTGATTTGATCAGGTGTGGGCGATTCAAGACGCCGTTAGCAAAAATCTTAAATTTTTTTTCGCATGCGGGGATTTTAAAAAATTAAAATAATTGCTCTGCTGAGATTCGAACTCAGATGACTGGATTCAAAGTCCAGGATACTAACCCTTATATGACAGAGCATATTTGATGATTTTCAAATTTTTTATTTTGGTTTTTCAGGAATTTTTTATCAATATTAAAATCAAATTGCTAAATAACTTACATTTATCTCAAGAAGTACATTTAAATCAAATGAACACATTTATTGATCAATCTATTAAATTATTAAAATAATTTTTTTTAAAAAAAAAAAAAACAAACTTTTTAAATGTAAAAACTTTTGTGAACATCAATTTTTTAAAAATTTTTGATTAATTTTTTTTATTAATTTAAATTGTACAAATAATCAAACTTATATTTTAACATATATATATAAATCAATACCATGGTAAGAAATAATTACTAGAATCATAAATTTAGATTAAAATCTAATATATTTGAATAAATATTATTACATCTCTTTATATATTTATTTTATTTAACGATACTACTATAGGCAAGAAGATACGATCAAAGAACAACTATTTTCTCACCAGAGGGTAGAATCTATCAAGTAGAGTATGCAATGACAGCGATCAGACATGCAGGTGCCACAGTCGGTATCTTGGCACAAGACGGTATAGTATTGGCAGCAGAGAAGAAGACTGTCGCTAAACTATTGGACTCATCGCTTTCACAGTCGGAAAAGATGTTCAAGATTGACGACCATGTCGTATGTGCAGTGGCTGGTATCACTTCGGACGCCAACATTCTCATCAACTATGCAAGACTAAGTTCACAGCGTTACTACTACAACTATCAGGAGCCAATGCCTGTAGAGCAACTGGTATCACAGATCTGCGACACCAAACAAGGTTACACACAGTACGGTGGTCTTCGTCCATTCGGAGTATCTTTCCTCTACGCCGGTTGGGACATCCATCACGGTTTCCAACTCTACCAATCCGATCCATCCGGTAATTTCGCTGGTTGGAAAGCTACTTCCATCGGTGGTGAGAACAGTCAAGTATGTTTACATTATGTTACTATTTTTGAACGTTCAACAACAAAACAAACTTTTATTAATTCTGTTTGTTATTATTATTACTATTACTATTGCTATTTATATTAGGTTGCGCAATCAGTGTTGAGATCAAACTATAAACCAGATCTCTCATTGAAGGAAGCTTTAGAGTTGGCTTTGAAGGTTTTGACAAAGACTATGGATAGATCGAATATCAACTCTGACAAGTTGGAGTTTTCATATATCACTAGAAAGGACGACAAGTTGGTGTACCATATTTTCGATGCTAAAGAATTGGATCAATTCATTAAAGAGACCGATCTCGAACCAGAGACTGATGATTCATAAATTATATTATAAAGAAGATTATCAACTCATCTTTAATCAATCAATCAATCAACCAATTAAATCATTCAAATTAATATATACATATATCACAATTCTCTTACAATCACCATCATTCTTATAACAACAAAACAACAAAACAACAACAAAAATATTAAAAATAATGAAAATATTTTATAATTGTAGATTTTAAATAAATGAATAGTAACAATACCATTACTATTTTTATTAATTAATTGGTTTGTTTTTTTTTTTTTTCTTTTATTTTTTTTGATCATTAACACATTTTTTTTACTTTTTTGATGATATACGCCTATTATTTATTGTACCAACATGAAGTGAAAAATTAAAACTTATTTGTATCGCCTGTATCAGCAAATATCAAGAATACAATGATGATAATATTCCTTTATGTTTGAATTTCAATTGTAATCATTAATTATACAAAAAATAGTAAACTATATATAAATCAATTTATTTATATAGAAAAAACAATGAAATTGTACGTATTATTTATTAATAGTTTTGTTTGGTAGTTCGTTAGAAGTAGAACCAGAACTTGTTTCTTATTAAGAGAACTAACAGAAGAGGAGTTCTATGAATTATCTATTATCAAACCTATGGGCAACGATGTTTACAATATAGATTTCCAAACTATGGAGGAAGATGATTTGTAAGCATTTTTCAAATATCAATATCATATTAACAACAACAAAAATTATTAAAACAATAATAATAGGGCATATACACAAGAAGATAGAGTTAATGGTAGATTGTATTAGATTCCTGTTTATGAATTTAATATAGATAACATTTTAAATGAAATAAAACACGAATCTATTCTTATTTAATGAAAAACAACAATATATCGAACATAATTTAATTTGACATTTCATTTATAAATAACAAATAAAATATATATTAAAATCATACTCAATTATATTTGATGATATAGAATAATAGCAAATAGAGTAATTATCAATATAAGATATGGATTTTTTTTTTAATTTCAAGAACAACCAATACTATTGACTTTAATCTACATGTAACTTTTATTTAATTTGAATATCCAAATTTAAATATTTCTAAATCAGGAAAACTATGCAGTATATATTCATCTAGATGTAAAACAAAGGTGTATTATTTGAAAAAAAAATAATTTTTGGTTTAACTAGTACCTCAAAAGATCTTGATATCAATGAATCAAGTTTGTGGTAACAAAAAAAAAAAAAAAGTAAATCCACTTTGATAAAATACACAAATAACAATGTGTCTTGACAATGTGTGATGTGTGGTATATTTGTTTGATTAAATTAAAATTGGTATGAATATCAATTCAATGTATGTACTCATTTTATTTAAAATACCAAATAAAGTTAGATCGGGGAAAGTTGTTATAGTGCTTAATTAACACTTAATTTGTAGAATGAATAGTTAATATTGGGTGTTCAAATCAAACATGATTTTTTTTATATTTAATGATCAATCATTTTTTTACATTTAAATAAATTTATAATAGTTTGTGTTTTATAAATTAATCTCAAATCTAATTTCTCTTATTAATTAAACTAAACGAATATAAAATAAAATAAGAAAAGAAAAGAAAAGAAAATGTTAATTGGTAAGTACTTAAAAAGATATCTAATTTTTCCAAAAAAAAAAACATTTTATTAATTTTATTTTTTTTAGAATCATTATCTTCCTTAGGTTCTATATTAATAAAAAGAGATTCCGATATAAGTAGCATTTTTGATTCTTCAATCAATAGTAGTAGTATCCAATCTCTAAATGAAACTCAAAGACTTAATCTTAATCTATATTTTTTAAATGGAAAGAGAAGATTTACTACCAAACCAACTACTAGATTTTTTTAAGATTCCCAACTTCGATTTCAATATTCAAAATCTTTTTCAACACCAACCTTAACCTCTAATTTAATTTTTGTAATATATTGTAAATTTCAAATAAAAGTAACAATCTTTTAAAATTACAAATAAAATATATAATTTATTTTATATGAATACTATATCAGTTAAACTAAAAGTTATGAGAATCATATATATTTTTTATTCCAATCATTTATTTTCAAATAGAATGATCTTATTATTTCATTGGATAAATGAATATTAATCAGATTGATAGATAAAAATCTAATATTGATTGGAGAGTGTAACTTTGGTCATCCACATTTCACACACACACAAAAACATTTATTTGTTAATTTTAATTTTTTGAACTTACACTTTTTTTTTATTTTATTAATAATGATATGTATATACCACCACATATGCATATTTTTATAAATTTATGTATCTCAATAAGTTTTAATGATATAAAAAATTATATATCTTGTGATAATCGACATCGATAATCATACCCATCATAAATAAAAAAAAACATATAATTTGTCGATGTAAAATATAATAACAACCACCCACAATTATTGTAAGTGAATTTCACACACACAACCCACTTGAACTATAATATCAAATCAATCAATCAGATTTATAGATGATACACCAATTTTGATATTATTTGTTACATTTTATTAAATGATCAATGATCATCATGACAGTTGATGAAATAACCATATATGGAAAGCATTGCATAAGGATATATACATATATGTTCAAATATGAAATAGAGAGAGAACAACAATGACCTTGTCTTTTCCTTTCACAATTGAATGGTTGTTTTGTTTTGTTTTCTTTATCATTGGATGATGGTTGTTCACTTCTTGATTGTTATGTTTGTCTTTTTGATGATTGGAGAGATAGACAATCAGTGATTTGATATGTGTCTATCCCAGCAATACAACAAGCAATACGATCTAATAATAACTTTTACTTTCCTTATTAAGATAAAAAGCTAGACTTTGTCAATTTAACCATTTTGTGTATACCGCAATTAAAAATCAATAACTTTGTCTAAATTTAGAATAACGACAAACGCTTGTTGTACACAAGAACACCGACATTCACTGATCTGATTTGAATTCCCAAGCATGCGCGTTGATAAACAAAGAAAAAACAACTATAAATACTCAATGAACCAATTCGAATTAAATCATTCAAACAAACAAACAAATATAAAAATCAAAGTTGTTTAAAACAAAAAAAAACTAAATATATAATATTATATCTAAAATGTTAATCAGTATGTATACTTAACTAACTTTTAAAATACTTTATTCTAATATTTTATTAACTTTTTTTTTTTTTTTTTTTTAAAAAAAAAATAGACAACCTCATTTCAGTTCTTTCATTTTCTTCTTCATCTGTTTTAAATTCAACAATGTCGACGAGTACAAATCAAACATCCTTTGAATCTGATAATTTGATTTCGAAAATAGAATGTCGTTTACTTTTGAATGGTAAAAGAGCACCACCACCAAAGCCATCAACTCACTTCTTTTAAATAGTAAAAATAATATAACCAAACAAATCGATAGAAATATAAATACTTATTTGTAATACAATGAATTATAAAAATACTAAATAAAATAAATAAAATAAAAACATATTTTATTTATCTGAACATCCAAAAAAGATTCTTTTAATTAAACCATATGGTTGGAAAGGTCGTCATCAGATACCTAATCGGTTAAAAAAAAAATGAAATTTCTTTTTTCATTTTACATTTTTTTGTTGATTTTTTTCAACCACCCACAAAAGTTTAATTCATTTGTTCATCTTAACTTTTGATGTTTATTTGTTATTTTTTTTGTTATTTAATTTTTTTTAATTAATTACTATTACTTGAAGTTTCTGTATCTGTATTTTTTTTTAGTGTTAGTTATATTTTGTTGAATATTGAATTAGTAAAGACATGTCAACAGAAAATATTACAACATCAAGTAAACAGAAAGGTCAATCTGGATATGAGTACTTCCAACAAGAGGCACCCAGACTTGGAAATCAATACTTGGAGGATAGCTACTTGATTGAATCACTCAAGCGTGTTGTACCATCGAACTACCTGAATGAAATCGAACCTGATCTAGTTAGATTCGGTGATCGTGTAATGGGTGATATCCTAGAGTATGGCAGAGCCTGTGAGAATAACCCACCAAAACATGTTGCCTATGATGCATGGGGTCGTCGTATTGATAAAATCGTAGTAGACGAAGGTTGGAATATTCTTAAGGATATCTCTGCTGTTGAAGTAAGTAGAAAGAAACACTTAGGTGAAATACTATATAGCTTTTATTATTATTATTATATGTATGTTTATTAACAAATTTCACAAAACAAAACAATTAATTAAAGGGATTGGTCAGTATTGGATATGAAAGAAAACAAAAGGAATTCAGTAGATTATATCAATATTTAAAGATATATTTGTTTGCTTGTTCCAGTGCGGTTTTCGATTGTCCACTGTCGATGACAGATGGTGGTGCTCGTCTCTTGGAGTTGTACGGTGATAAAGAGTTGATGACAACTGCCTATCCTCATTATGTCACTAGAGATCCAAAGAATTTCTGGACTTCAGGACAGTGGATGACTGAGAAGACCGGTGGCTCCGACGTAGCCAACTCAGAGTCCGTAGCGGAACCAAGAAAAGATGGATCGAATCGCTATGATATCAGTGGATACAAGTATTTCACTAGTGCAACCACTGCGCAGACTGCCATGATTCTCGCGCGTGACCGTGAGCCAGAGACCGGTGGATTCCGTAGTGGTTCGCGTGGACTGTCCGCTTTCTTCATAAAGATTCGCAAGGACAACGGAAAGGACCTCAATAACATGATGATTCACAAGATGAAGAACAAGTTTGGCACGAAAGCCGTTCCGACCACCGAAATTGAGCTACTCGGTACCGAGGGTGTCATGATTGGTAACAAAGGTCGTGGTGTACCAATCATCGCATCGATTCTCAACATCACACGTATCCACAATGTAATTCACTCGGTTGCCACAATGCGTAGAGGTGTGGCACTGGCCAGAGATTTCGCCCACCGTCGTAAGGTATTCGGTTCCAGTCTCGCCGAGAATCAACTCTACATCTCAACACTCGCCGAAATGGAAATTGAATATCGTGCCGGACTCCAATTCCTCCTCAACGTATCACTCTTACTCGGTCAATCGGAATGTCTCGAAAAGAATCCAAAGATCGATTCACTACTAAGAATTTTAACACCACTTTCAAAACTCTATACTGCCAAACAAGTAAGTATTTCATATTTATTATCATTATTATAACAATATTAACTTAATTTATTACTATTTAAAGAGTATTTTAGTTTCATCTGAAACAATTGAATGTATGGGTGGAACTGGTTATATGGAGGATTCAGATATTCCAAGATTGTTGAGAGATACTCAGGTAACTGCTATCTGGGAGGGAACTACCAATGTTTTGTCAATGGATGTCTGGAGATCTATTAAATCACACAACTCTTTGGTTGTTTTACTCGATGAGATCCGTTCAAAGACCGCTGCTACTACCAAAGCTGGCAGTCCACTCGCCAATGCCAAGCAAACCATTGAGAATGCAGTGAAGGCGATTCTCGAGATCTCCAATGGCTCTGATGATCTGGATTTCGTAATTGCCAACGCAAAGAAATTCAGTTTCCTCTTGTCTCAGACCTATATGGCAGCGCTGCTCTACGAACACGCCCTTTGGAGTAAGAAGTCGGTCGACGAGCAAATCTGTGAACGTTGGTGCTTCATCAAGTTGCAATCTTCCAAGATGGACGGAACATCGATTGCTTTTGCCAAGGCCGATCAGAGCTGGAGAGATCTCGACCGTTTGATTGCACTTGACATTGATGAAAGCGGAAACTACAGAGGTACCGGTGACACATCTACTTGCAAGAGAAACTTTGGTGCACTAAGAGCAAGATATTAAATCATCAAACTAAATATCAACAACATTCTTATATTTTTTTTGCGTTTTACTTTGACTGTGTACTTGTTGTTTATATATAAACAAAAAAAACATCTATTGTCATATTATTAATTAAATAATTAAATATCATATTTTATTCATTATACTGTATTTAAATTTTTTATTTACAATTGAGTTTTATTTCTATTTATTATTACAATTAAAAGAATTCTTCTTTTATAACTTTATTATCTTTCCATTGTTGGAAAGCCCATTGTGTCTTTTGCATTCTGTTTCCACCATATGTGAAATCCATATACATTTCATACGCAGTATTATCACCATCAACAATGATCTTCAAAACCTTTGCTTCATGTACAGTGGCATTACTTGAGAAACCTTCTTCTACTTTTCTATTCTCAACAAAACCAACTCTATTTGTTGAATCACCTTTCTCATACATTACAATATCTTGATGATAGAACTTGTCAAACACTTCTAATATTCTATTCTCTTGAATACCTTTGATTATTGATTCCAAATTTAATCTGAGATCGGAATTTCGTTGAACTTGTGATTGTGATTGAGTTGAAACTTTTGTTTCTGAATTTATAATTGTTGTTGTTGGAATTGAAACTGGAATATATTTCGCGGATTCTAAATTATTTAAAGTTTGTTTCTTTGATGATTTTGATGAATTTCCTTTTTTATGAATTTTATTTCCAATTTTGGAAAAGAATCTTTTAATTTGAACCATTTTATTAAATATTTAAATTTTATAATTAAAAATAATGATTTGATGATAAATATAGAATAAAGATAGATAATAAATATAAAATTTGATTTTAGTATATATATGTTTGTTTTAAAGTATTTTTAGAATGAATATTTTGATGATCAAGGTATGATATTTATAATTTTTATTTTTATTCAAGATCATTACTTTTAAAAAATTCTTTGTTTATCTTCCAAAAAAATAAACAATGAATCTTTATTTCAAGAACACAATTTCATTCCGGAATAAAAAAAAGGTGTGCACAAACTTGTGAATTTTTTTTTTTTTTTTTTTTGAGATCTCAGAGTCAACTACTTTCTATTATTCTATTCTTATTTAATTATTTATTTTTTGATTAATTTATATATAAAATGAAATTTAATAGTAATTTTATTAGATATTCAGATCAACAGAGCTTCGAAGGAGATCCGAAAGGAGATTCAAGATGAAGAGATTTTACAGAGTATGAGCAGGTTTGAGAACAGAGTAGAACCCATCCAAGTCGAATGTGTTGGAGGATACCAAAGATATTATAGCCAAAGAAAGCACTTAAAGGGTTATCTAACTTTTGGATATATGAGTGCTCATCGAATTAAATCTTTTGAGAAGCTTAAACCTATCATCACGATGAAAGACAACGATAATCCAAAGATGTGTCTCGGTGTTCAACATCTACTTTGCAAAGTAGATCCCATTGCAGAGAGAAAGTAGTTGTTGGTCAGTCATTTCATGAAGTATTAATTAATTAATCAATATCGAAATAGATTGATGAATGTATGTTACATTAGTACAGATGGTTATCAAACTTTGAAGAAAGAAATAAGGTGGGAGTCTAGTGAACTGAAATCTTTTGGTATCGTCTGCGGTTAGTATTATAGGTGCTTGTTCATTTGATCAATCACAACAACAACAACAAAAACAACAACAAAAACAAAAACAAAAATAACAACAAAACAACAATAAATAACACAACTTAAACGATATTTCTAGTTAACTACAACAAAAATTACTATAAACAAAAATTAATAATAAATTTACAAAATTAAACTAAAAAATGTAATTACACTATTAATGTATCTGTATAGATGTTATTTCTTAAAAAAATGATAAATCACTATACTATAGATATAGATGTATCTTAATATTAAACTAATAATTAAAATTGACGATAAAAATTATTTTTTTTTTTTGACCATAGATCAAATTTTAAAAAAAACAAATATTAATATATATCAAACGATAGCTTACCTTTAGGTGAAACCTATTCTATCATTTATTGTTTCTAAAATGTTGTTCTATAAATAATATCTATCAAGTCTTTTATAATTAATTTTGATATCATTAGATTTACCTAGGTATTATACTATACTTAAGAAATAAATTGATTTAAAAAATAAAATCTTATTATTTTTATTTGATTTTGATCAAAGGAATGTCACTAATTTTGACCAAAATGTGGTTTAAAATTAAAAATATCCAAAAAAAAATTAGATCAAAAAAAACACCTCTTGGTTTTTTTTTTTTTGGGCTCCACATTGTGATCAAAAAAATAGTTTATTTTTAACAACCAAATTTTTGTATTATTATTTGTTATCTTAGATTATTAATTTATTTTTGTATTTTATTTATTTATTTTGAAATTATTATATATATATTTTTTATTTGCCTGGATATATAGATAGATATAGATGAACAGCAGAAGTAGTAGTTCAAATTCATTGTCGTCATTTGATGGAGTTTTACAACAAGATGATAATAGTATGGTGGTACCGAATATTTTAAATGTAGTATCGCGTTTGTTGGATGGTGAACCATTAGAGTCATTAAAACGACAATCTGTTGTTGTTGTTGCTGATGCTGGTACTGTTGACGATGTAAAGGATGAGCAACAGCAACAACGTGCAGATCTCTCAGGGTTATTCGCAACACTGTACGATATGATAACCAAACCAGATGGTGCTCTAAGCACTACCTTTGATGAAATCTATTGGGATTTGGTACATTCCTTAATCACCTCACTCGATGAGTCATCTCATCAATGGAATCAAAAGAATCCAACTCAAGTCAATCAAGAATCTTCAAATATATTAAAGGTATAATAATACATATAGATTTCAATGAGGATTTTCAAATATAAATTACTTACCTTAACTTAACTTCTTCTATCTAGATATTAAATTGGATGTCATTAAATACAAGTCCAAGAGAATTCCTATTGGTCATTGAAGAATTGTATGAATCTACATTCTATGAAGTATCATTCTTTACAAGACTTTCACTTGTTGGATTGGTTCAAAATGGTAAAATATTATTAACTAAAGATGGTTGGTTGATTATTAACTTAGGATATTTGTTATTATTATTATTATTACTATTATTGTTTAGCTTTGAAAAGAATTGCAGTTGAAAAGAGATATCATTTCTTTACTTCTTTGTTGCCTATGATTATGTCATTGATTCAAAACGATAAGGACAGTGACAGTAATAGTACAAAGCTAAAGGATATGAGTGTAAATAGCGATGGTTTCAACGGTAAGACAGAGAAGAAAGACGGTGAAGAAGGTGAAGATGGAAACGATGAAGACGATGAACAGCAACAACAGGAAGAAGAGGATGATAGACAATCATTGAAGATTCAAAACAGTGGAAATGAAGAGGAACTTCAACAAAAGAATACCGACGAAGATTTGAAATGGGAGTATCCATTGTCTTGTATATTAAACTTCCTTCAGCAATTCATTGGTGATCTCAATATTGAAGCCGGTGATAAAGCACATCTCCAACAACAACATCTATTCCTCCAATCGATTGTTCAGCTATTGGGTGAAGATAATATAGTGAATCCACCACAACCACTTCAACATAGCAATGGACAATCTTTATTAAGTTTTATTGGTGTAAGCAGAGATCGATCATCAAACATCTCTAGAAATGTTAATTAACAAACAACTAATATTAACATTAATATTTCTATTTTATAACTTCCTAGGAATTATTAAATTTAATGGATGTTTCATTTGATTATATTTTAAAGACAGATCAGAGATTCAGAGAGAAGAGAAGAGAGTTAGAGTTGGAGGATATGTATTTCGATCAAGGATTGGACGAGGAGGATCTAGAGGAAGACGGTGAAACTAGTGGATTAGAGTCAAAGAAGAAATCACATAGACATGTAGATAGAGATGGTGATGGTGATGATGATGACAATGTTGATTCAGATAGCAGTTCGAATGACGACGAAGAAATGTCTTGGGATATCGAACTATCATATGCTGGAATAGGTTATTTATTTTACAATCTATTGTTACGTCCAACTGAACAATATAAACTATCATCCGTTCAATCTCCACAATCACTATTACAAGATAATCTTTCATATTTAATTACATTATTACAAAGGTATGTATTATTAGTTAACTAATTAATTAAAAAGATTATAATCTAAAGATGGTATGGTATCTAAACCTTTTTTTTAATTTTATTAGTCCATCTTATAGAGTTGGATTCAAAGCAATTCAAATAATATCATTCCTACAAAAGAGAATTAAACCATCGGTGTTCCATGTGGATTTAGCATTGTTAAGCACTCAGAGTATTCTAGAGACAAATACAGGTGGCGGTGGCGGTGGAAATGGAGTAGCTACTGATGAGAATTCTATTTGGTTGGTAGATCAGTCACCGGCGATCGTAGAGGAACCATATCATTTCCTTCAGCTATTCCAAACAATGATAAAATACCTGGTTACTTGTCCAGTGCAAAAGATTCGATCGTTCGCTTTCAACCAATTCTCGCTGATATTGAATATAATGACACCGGCCACCCGTTTCAATCTGTTGGCTTCGCTGATTCGAACTTGTAAGTTCCCATCGTTCACAGGCCTGTTGATTCACGTCGTCAAGGAGCAAATCGATGGCTGCTGGTCGTCCACCGACGTAGAATCACGTGCCTATTTCGTATCGCCAAAGATCATCGAACTCGTTGGTATCCCTATGCGACTGGAGGGTAATCCACTCGATCGTTTGGACGCGATTATGAATGCACTGAATCTCTATAGGTTCTTGCTGATTCGTGACAAGAAGGAAAGACAGACCGGTGTTTGTACTCGTGCCAATCTGATGGTTGTTAGAGACACCTTTTTGCTACCGCTCAAAGCAGAGTTCAACAAGATCAAAGAGCAATTCGAAATCAACGCAAAAGGTGACAAAGAAGCACTGAGAAAAGCACTCAAAGGTATCTCTAAACTCGGTGTAAAGGAAATGGACGAAGAAGAGATCCAGCGAGCAAGTCAACTCGTTGTATTCCACATTGAAATGGCAGTTGATGTTATAGATAGAATCATCGAATTACAAAACGAAAATAATAACGAAGATTAAAATAAATATTAAAGTAATATAGTAAGAGAAAACTAGTACTTGTTTGATTTAATGTATACTTTTAGTGCATTATTGTTATTGAGTAACTATGAATTTACAATTTATTAATAAAATTAAGATTTAATTTTTTTTTTCTATTTTTATGATCATTATTTTTTTTTCCTTTTTTGTTTTAGTGCACTGATTATTTATAGATAAATATAGCAATGTTTAATTTTTTTCAAAAGAAAAATGGCTCTAGTTTTTATAGGAAAAGCGAGTCAAGTGTTAAAGTAGTTCCAAGAAGAATCGCTGATGCATCGATAAAACATCAGATGAATATTACAAATAGAAGAGGCCTTGTAAAAGCTCCCGATATTAGAGAATCGGTGAGAACACCACCTGGCGAAGATGAAAACGATTGGCTAGGATTGAATTGTATAGAGATGTATGATACAATTAGCAAAATTTACGCATGTCTAGATGGTTCCTATTGCACGTTGGAGAGTTGCTCTAAAATGTCAGGATACAAAGCAGAGTACTTTTGGAGATACAATGATAAAGATAAACCTATTTCATTGCCTGCAATAACAGTTTGTATAGTTTTAAAAGTAAAATATATAAACATTTTGTTACTCATTCATTGTTTATCATTTAATATCTACTGTACAGTATATACATAATCTTTTCGATTGGATCAATGATTTAGCAGAGGATCCAGATGTGTTTCCACCCGAATACGAATCTTATCCGAAAAACTTTCGACCAACCGTCAAAAAGATATTATCAAGATTGACAAGGTTAGTTTATGAACTTACATCTTAACTTTAGATAAAGCTATTAATATATTGGTTACATGTACCTTTTTTTAGGGTTTATTCACATATCTATTGTTATCACTACGAAGAATTAAAATCAATAGGATTATCTCAACACTTGAACACTGCTTTTAAAGTAAATATTGTTTACACTGTTTTTTTTATTCATCAAACAAACAAATTTGCTAATAACAATTGTCGTATTACAAAAATTAGTTTTTATATTATTTTATTCTCGAATTTGGATTAAGTAATGAAGCAGAGTTAGCATTACTTCAAGAAGTATTGGATAATTTGTAAATAGCAAGATAATTAGCACAACCATTTGGATGTTTTGTAAATAGCAAATTGGTTCCCATCCAAAAGTTTGTCTTGTATTATAAAACCATAATCATTTATTATAAATTTAAAAGATCTTTGATTGGAAAATGTATTTCAAATTAATAATAATTTTAAATCCTTAAAACAAATAAATGGGAATTTTATTTTACAAAACATTTTCTTTATTTATTTATATAGTGGATCACTTAAAAACAATGACAGCTTTGAATGATGGAATATTTTGGTAACCGATTCATGAGAATAGCTACCTAAAATAATATAGTAATTTTCATCCAACTTTCTGATTGCAAAGTGCCCAGGCATAATGAAATTGGTGATGTTTTTGATGTTTTGTGGAATGTCATTCAATAGTTGAACAGGTTTTGTGAATATGATGGTTTTAACTGATGTTGGAATTAAGTCCATGCATTCACTCAGTTCGTGATCGAACATATGAATCGTCTCGATGGAGTTTGGCAATACAATTGGAAGCTTGGTATTCTTGAATGGAATTTTCAACTCGGTGACTGTTCGAGGTATTCGGCATTTAATCAATTTATTGTAGAACCAACTCTCTGTATTAAATGAAACTGATTGGATTTGATGTGGAATTGATGTAACAGGTTCATTGAGTTCAACTACCAATCTGTCAATCGATATATTATTTGGAATCTGAGATGGGTCTATGCTGCATTCAAATCTTTCAAAGTGATATTGCAATGTTTTCGGAAATAGTTTGTTAAAGTCGAGTCTACTCTTTCTTAAAACCAAGTTGGTTATCGATGTTGGAACTGTTCCAGTCAAAAGATAAGCTATTTCCATTTTAAAAGTCTTTAGGTTGTTTGATGGTAACTGATCAAAGTTGATTGTACCACTATCATTTAGATTTTGGTTTGTGACCACTACGCTGAGATAATGCAGGTTCGGTAGATGTAATACTGGGAGCCATGAGTGAGGTATACCTTTCAGAATTTTCAGAGATTGTGGTAGTACTCCAGGATCTTCAATTGGAAGTTTCTGATGATCTGAGAGTGTTAGTTTTTCCAAACCATTCGGTAGTGATCCAACTTTGAGAGGCATTTCACTGCTAATACTCAAGACTTTAAGTGAAGCTGGAAGTACTCCTGTTTCTGGTGGAAAGTTATAAACTCTACAAAGTTTGAGGCTAACCAAACTCTCTGGAAGAATACCATTTTTGATCTGTTTATTGAAATAGGTGCCGAATTCCAGTGTAACCAAATTCGCCGGAAGACATCCTTTGACAAGTTCTTCATTAAATAACGATGTAAAACTTAGTTTTCTGATTGATTGTGGTATTCCATATTTCAGTGTTCCACATCTGTTCAATTCCGTGACTGATTGTGATTTATTCAGTGCTCGATAAAAGTGTATTAAATCTTTTTCATTTGAAAAATCTGTTTTAATATCAATTTTGGTAATGTATGATGGAAAATATTCTATTTCTCTAATTTTATCTTTTAATAAAAAATATTATTAGTAATTTGATAAACCTATTTTTATTTAAAGTGCTTAATAGTTTGTTTTAGTTACCTTCATAATAAATAAAATTTTGAGTTCTTTGCATTTCCCAAAATGTAATTAGATTAAATTTATTCTTTGCAATAATAAGCACACAATCATTCTTTGATTCAATCGATTTATGAAATATATTTTCATACGACTTCAATCTGAAATACTGATTATTTTTAAAATCTTTAATTTCAATACTATTCACACTCGAGATATAGATATTATCAGTGTTGAATATTAAATATTTATCTCTATCATCGAACCATCTCTTACAAACTAAACTGAAACAGATTTTATCAATGTTATCATCTATTAAATTTGTAATTTTATTTAATATTAAATGTGATAGATTTACTATTGTATTTGTTTGATTATTCATTGTGCAACCGATCGACCTCTTATTAAATAAAAATGAAAAATAAATAATCAAAAAAGAAAACAACTAGTTCTATCAAAGTTTTCTTTTTTTTTTCTGTTTTTTGATGACATTTCATTCTCTTAAACAAAAGTGAAAAAAAAAAAAAAAAAAAAAAAACAAATAACAATAACAGATAATAGATAAGATAAGATATTTTTCAATACACAATGATTTCATTTAAGAGATTACTTCATTCAGTAGTGTTGAGAAACAAGATATTCGAAAGTGTTAGAGATATTCACGATCAACTCGCCACTGACAATTCATTGAGATGTGATTGGTATGATCTTGGATGTTTCCCAGATCAGCTTATCAAGTTCAATTATATCGAAAGATATAAGAAGATATTCAATACATTAATTAGAGATAAAATAAATTATAATAGTTTTGCTACAATAACAAAGTTTAGACTGTTATATTTAGATTCATTAAGGAATGCATTCGATGTTGGAAATCTAGAGGTTGTAGAGTTTATCCATTTGCTTTCAAAGGATATAGAATATTCAGATTACCTAAAGAAGGAACACTACATGAATAATCTAGAGCTCATACAATTCCTTGATTACAATGTCGATCAACTATTCAAACATCAAGGTTCCAGAATATTGGATAATGTTGCACTTGGTAGTTTCCATGTATTCAAATGGCTTTACGAGAATAGATCTGAAAGAAGTACCTATGATTCACTCTACAATGCTGCTAGAAATGGAAATCTTGACATTTTAAAGTATTTGCTTGAAGAGAATCAAATGGGAGAAACAAAGAATTTATTATTACCTGCTGCTGTGAATGGACATCTGGAAACACTTGAGTATCTAGACAAGTCAGAGAACCTTACTGGACAATTGCCAGATAGCATCATAATACAAGTGGTTAGAGGTGGTCACCTACCTACAGTCAAATACATCATCGAGAACACCAAGCAATACCTTCCAAATAATTTGATTGTCACTGCCGCTAACAATGGTCATTTCGATTTGGTTAAATATTTCCTAGAGAATACGACTGCCTTGTTTAATAGCGATACAATAGATGCTGTTGCTGGTCATGGTGATCTCGAGTTTATCAAACAACTTCACAACAACCCACGTTCGAAATTTACATCTACAGCAATGCACATGGCAGCAGTAAACGGACATATTGAAGTGGTCAGATTCCTTCATGAAAACAGAACTGAAGGTTGTCGATATGATACAATGACAGAGGTTGCAATGAACGCTCATTTCGAGACATTCAAATATCTTTTTGAAAATCAAAAAGATTTGCATATCACAGATAGCTTGATGGACTACTTTGCCAAATATAAAGATAGTAGTGCACTCCAATGGTTAAAAGACAATACAACTCTTCAGTGCTCAGATTTTGCCTATAGATATGCAATACGTCAAGCAAATCTACCAATTATCAAATGGATTCATGATAATACAAGTCTCCTATTTCCACAGAATGCTATGTATTTAGCGACTAGTTGCCTAAACAATGATCTCAGAATCGTTCAATATCTGCATGATAATGGTGTAATCTGTACTACAAATGCAATGGACAATTGTCATAAACTTTCAATATTAGAATATTTACATTTTAATCAATCAAAAAGATGTTCATCAGAAGCAATGGAAAAAGCTATTGAAAATGAAAATGTTCCAATCATCAAATTCCTTCTTCAAAATAGCACTGAACATTTATTGATGGATTACTCTAAACATGATATACAACGCTCTAAAACACTTGATTATTCATCAAGAATTGAATTAATAAAAAAACATAATCTTTAGGTTAACTATTTTTTATTCTAATGATTATAATAAATAATAATGCGACCATTAGTTTTTAAAAAAGATTTTTATTTAATTGTTATTATTTTTATCAATTATCTTTAAGCTATTGTAACTTTTTTATAATCTTTATTTGCCCTGCTTCTCCAATGAAAGAACTCTAAATATAACAGATAATAATTGTGGGTGTAAATGTTTTATTTAAAGAAATGTAAAAATATTGGCTTTGTTCTAGCAGTCTCGAATATACTGTAATTCGATAGTTTGGCATTCTTTTCTTTGTAGTAGCTGTACAACAGTGTAAACAATTGAATATTATTTTTGACGATAGATCTTTGTATTTGGTTTGTAAAATCCAATTTACTGAATACTGTTGGATGTAACTTTAATAAATTAAAGTAAAATAAATCCGAGAATTGTTGTTTGGTATCGATTAATTGCACGATCTGATCATCCAATGTTTCTTTTCCAAAGTGTTCGGCTATCCATTGTATTTGGTCGACGTATTCATGCTCCAACGCATAGACATAGAATGTGAAGCTCCATTTCAAAATACCGAGGTCAATCAGTGATTTCAACATCGATCGATTGTTGTGTTCGATCAACTTTTGAGCGACCATCTCTGTCGAGTAATTATCGTATTTCGACATACATTCGTAGACACTCTGAAATATCTCTAAGTTTCCTGTGGCTGCGCTTGCAATCAACCAAGTACTTGTAAAATGAGTGCTTCTCAGTGGGGATATCTTATTGAATAGCTTGTTATCCGATTGTTTTATAGCCATCAATATATCTGCATACGACACCTGTTGACGGGTCGATCGCAATAGATAGTAAATCATCTCTTCATTGCGAGCAACGATCAACGGTAGTAAACTGATATTTCCTTGAATTCGTTCGGCTCCATAGTTATCGAATACCCATACGATCGCTTCATTTTGGAAGTTAACAGCTGCATCCTCCACACCCTTTGCAGTGGGACGTATCTCTGGATAGCTCTTAAAGAGAAGCTCCAGAATCGAAAGATGTCCACGTCGCATTGCAATGTTGACACAATCGGATAGCTTGATTTCCGAATCGTTATAAGCCGATAGCATTGTCTTTACTCGCTCCAATTGGCCATGATAGATAAAGGCAGAGATCATATACCACGACGGTGCAAACCACGGATGATTTTGGTGTACGTACTCTATCAGCGCAAGTGATTCCGGAAACTTGGTATCTCTTGTAGGAAAGAGTGAGGTTGATCCACCACTATAGGTCTGATTTGAATGAATGTATTTGAATGTCTCCAGATCACCACCTAGAAATGCATGCCTATAGAGATAACTACGAGAACCCGGTAGTTTGCCAATCAGATACTTTATGATATCAAGCTGTCCGTTCAATGCTAATTGAGTGAATACCTCTTGCTTTATGAAAAGAGTATTGTTCTTTTCCTGTAGATACTTTATGATATCGAGCTTTGCATTCTTTGCGAAAGGCGTGCTGCACTTATCCTGAACATATCCAACGATTTCCATGTTGTCGAATTTTATGCGAGAGACATCCAACGATGAAAAAAGAACGGCTGGCAAACGCTTCAATATCTCTAGATTGTTGTGGTTAACGGTGAGATAGACATCTTCTACCACCCAGCCAAAGTCATTGAATTTGCAATTATGTTTCTCCAAGAAGAATTGAATCAACTTCTCACTGCTATGTTTCGATTCGATTGCTGCCGTCATACAAATACGTAGATCTAGGAACATGAATGGTTTAAATTCATAGACAATCTCCACAATATCTAAACTGAACGTCTTTATAATCTGTTTTATAGATTCTATTGAAAATATCAAAAGATCTCTCTCTTTCTTTAGTTTATAAAGAAATAGTTCATGATAGTTGTTCCTAAGCAACCATTCCACAGAAACTATATCTCTATACTTGTAAATCTTTTGAATCTGTAATCTTTGTGTATTTGTCAGTGTTGTTTCATAATAATGAGGATGGAATAAACAAAATTGATTTTTTATTATTTTAAATAAATATTTATTATTATACAGATCTATTATTATTTTTTTGTTCATTATCTTTTTTATATATCTCTTTTTAATCAAAAGTGTGAGTTGTTTGATCAATAAAGTTAAAAAAGTTCAAAGAAAGAATGTCAGATTTTTTTGTAAAAAAAAATTCTTTAAATTTTCAAATAAAAATATTCATGAACTATTATTATCATTTGTATTAATTAATGGATTTAAATAAGAATAATAATAATAAATTATTTAAAGATATATTAAATAATATATATCTAAGAAATTATATATTTAATTTAGTTTATAAAGTTAATAGATCACTGTTTAATAGGGATTCATATGAAAAGTTTGATGAGAACGGTTTGCCTAGACACAATGTTAAAGTAGATGTTCAATATTATCGGTATTACCAGTTATTTAGTAAACCATGTTTTCTAGCTAGACTTGGTAGAAACTACTTGGAGTTACTGAAGCAGAGTCTCGATCTAGAGGAACAGAGAATCAGTGGTTATCAATGGACACCCGATGGCAAACCATATTGTCTGCACCTCTCATCGATAGCCAAGAGTGCAGTGTCATCGGGATGTATCGATACGTTGCGATATCTTCATTCGAGATACTCACATATCTTTGGAGTATTCATCTATAGTTTAAAGGAAGCATTGACTACCAACAACTTGGAGATACTACAATATCTATTTGAAAATCGTTTACTTTTGAAATCATTGGTATTGAACGAAGAGAAATCATCATTATCATCGATAGTAGTTAGATGTCTAGAGAAATATAGTAGACCTATAAGTTTTGAAATATTTCAATATCTTTTTGGGAAAATGATACCAACTGCATGTAGAAATAATAATAATAATAATAATAATAATTATAGTAGTAATAATAGTATTAGAGTTGAAGATTTAATAGTAGATAAAGTCTTGATTTCAAAGGATATAGAAAAGATTAGATATCTTTATCATTTAGGATATAGGTTTACAAAGGAATCGATGATATTGGCATCTGAACATTATGGATCATTGGAGATTGTTCAGTTCCTTTTCTACAACTGTATAGATTGCCAACTGGATAATAGAGTCATCGAGAATCTAGCTGAATCTGGTCATTTGGAAGTGATACGATTCCTAATGGATACGATACATCCAAAGACACAGACGATACTGGTCAGCGATTCACCAACTGCAATGTGTAATGCCGTTAAGAATGGACACCTCAACGTTTTAGAGTTCTTCATTTCCAAATCATCATTATCATCCAATTACAAATTTGAAATAGATAAACCGGCCAACTTGGAAGTGCTCAAATATCTGTACGAGAAACAACCCGAAAGAGTAAAGATTTCCATTAATACAATTCAATATGCTGCCAGTAGGAACGATATTGAACTATTAGATTACCTCTACGAGTTGGAACCATCTTTATTTTCCAAAGAGATACTGTACTATGATCTCGATATTCAATTGGATACCTATTTATACATGAGAAATACTCTTCATTTCAGTGGTGCCGATCAATACAAACTGTTTAAATTGGCATTAAGATATCATAACTATGAATTGGGAGATTGGATCTTGGATAATAATCGTGACATGGACATTGGAAAGTTAATACAAGATCTAACGTTTTCAATGTATGTATATACAATTGAAGATCTCATGTGGCTTCATTTCAAGTTTGGCTTGAACAACTATTTGAGTTCCTATCATATCAAATTCATACGGTCATTCAATTGTTTGAAATATCTAATTGAAACAGTTGGTTTGGTGCAACCGGTAGATTTTTTCACAAACTCGATTATTGCTGCCAACGGTAGTTTAGAATCGATCGATTACCTGGTGAAGAGAATCGACTACCAAGTGGAGCAGTCTGTCAAGCTCAAAGAATATCTTAGGTTCGCACTACAGAATCACTTCAATGTCTATCAGTATTTTGCCGACAACTTTGACATTGTGGAATTCAACGAGATCAATGTCATCGGGTTGTTTAGCGGTGAAGGTTCTCTCGAGAAACTAAAGTACCTGCAATCAAAGCGAGGTGTACTATCCACTAGGATCTCTCTTGACAAACATTTCGATTCAGCACCAGACTTTATTGAAACCCTGATGTTTCTCGATAAAAAACAAGTAGTTAAATACCAACCTTCAAGTTTAATGTATAGTTATAGCCACGGAATAGATGTATTGAGATTTGTTTACTTTAACAACAAGCGGAATCAATCGATGCCAATGACCACCACCAACCTCTTGGATAGTGTAATGTCACATGGAGATCCAGTGGTAATTGAATTCCTATTGCGAAACATTAAAGACACCGAACAAACTAAAAACAAACAAAAGTTAAAACAATACAAAGAAAAGTTGTTGATTCAATCAAAAAGATAAAGATAAATAAAAACATTTTCTTTTTCCCACCAAAACTAAATTATTATTTATTTTGTGGATAAGAATTGTGATGTCTTTATTGATTTTGACAACAATCAAATTGTTTCTAATTTGACATGAATTTGGGTGATTAGGTTTTCAGGTGCTGTAGTTGAGTGGTCGTTGAGATGAGTTTCAATCACTGGATATTTGCTTGGAGTTCTGTTTTTCTACCAAAGATCTTTGGTAGAAAAACACCGAAAATATAATCATAGAGTGGAATGAGACCACTGTATGGACCAGTGTATACGACAACTGCATAGTCACCCTCTTCCCATACGATTGGCTCTACCGGTTCGTCACCAGAGAGTGATAGGGATGCCAGCTGTTCGGATGTAACCTTTACTGCGGCCACCGATTTTAACTTTTCTTCTGGTACTTCGATAGGATTGTCAAAGAAGAAGGCAGCAAATTGACCAGGTTTAATGTTACGTTCACCAAAAAACTTGAACAACACTCCACAATTCTTTTTCATTGTCACCTCATATTCTCCAATACCCGTGACTCCAATCATTTCTGATTTTGGGAAATGAATTACTTGAACATCATATGTTGTACTTACTTCTGACATTAAAAGATTAATTTTTAAATTTTAACTTATTAAGTAAAGTGTTTTAACTTTTAAAATAAGTAAATTAAAATAGATAATGAACTTTCAAATTTCCAAGAAATTAACAACCTAACATTTAAATAGTTTTGTAAATTTACTAAAATAGTTTTTTTGTGGTTACAAGTGTAGCAGTTTTGTTTTGTCACAAAAAAAAAACTATAAAAATTGAGCGCGCTTTCGAAAGATCAATTTATAACCTTTTAACTCTTTGATCAATTTCTTGGAAATTAAAGGTTTATAAATTTTGATTTGTTTTTAATGATTAATAATTAAATATTTAATGAAGATAATAAATATTTATTTATATAATATATTAATTTAAAATGTCAGAAATTGAAATTCAGTTTGTTAAAAGTAGAGATTCTATAGGAATCCATGGTGTTGGTCCATATGATACAACTTTCAAGAGAACTGTTTGCGATATGTTTAAGTTCATCGAAGAAAAGAATGTCGTTTATGAAAAATTCATAGGATACTTTTACGATAATCCCTGCGAGGTTGCACCCGATCAGTGTAGATCAGTCGCTTCGATTTTAATTACAAAGGAGCAATTGGCAGCATTGAATCTCTCCGGTCAAGAGCAAGTAAAACACATCGTTTGGGAAGAAGGTGAATATGCAGTCATGCTTTACAAAGGACCATACGAGAATCTCAATCGTCAATACCAAACTATCTTTGAGGAAATTGTAAAGATCAACAGAATACCAAGTGAATATCCGTCAGTCGAAGTCTACCTGAATGACTGTGGTGTAACTCCACCATCTGAATTACTAACACAGATCTACGTCAAATTAGAACCAATTTCAAAATAAATAAAGAAAATAAAATAAATAAAATAAATTTAAAATAGATTAAGATTTTTTTGTTTTTGTTTTTAAACTAAGTTGCTTGATCTACTATAGTATATCCAATGAATTCTTTCACTTTGGTATTCATCATAATTATTGCTTCTCTGTTACTGGATGACATTGAAGTTATCATTCTTTTTATTCTGTTCAATTGTCTTCAATAATATCTTTTATTTTGATCGAATTAGATCAGTTAATCAAGCTCAACACCCTCTATGTTCGACTTTGTTTTCCTAACTCCAAGTACATCACCACAGCCACTTGAATTCGGTAGCATATGTATATTTATTCTTAGTTTTGTAGAATTTAGCTGCTTTAGCACCGATATTGTCCCTATAGTGAACGTAAAACTAGTGAAATAAGATATATTAACTGATATGATGTAAATCTAAGAATAATATTACTAAAGAGGGAACAAAAATGAAAAAATAATCTACTATTACTTACTGTTTGCTCAAAGTTGTTGGCAACAAAATTGGAATGAAAGTTTATAAATGTAAAATTTTCTTTTTAAAAACACAGCGCCCGGTTAGCTCAGTCGGTAGAGCGCACGGCTCTTAACCGTGTGGTCGTGGGTTCGAGCCCCACATTGGGCGTTTTCTTTTCAATAGATTAGTTATTAATGCGCGCATTTACTCCTCACCATTGAACTTGGGGAAGAAAACCCTCAAACCTAACGCCGGTCGACTAGCCACTGGAGCAACTTTGGTTGCGAAAACAGGGTGACACCTTCACTGAACTCTGCAACCCACATGAACATTTCTTCTTCAAATGCAGGATTGTAGTCTCACAGCAGTTCCTTTCCTTTATCAAACGTATATACCACAAGTACTGTAACTATAGACTTCGTAATTGGAAGCACTCGTGCATCAAGTTCGACGGTCCTATTTGTACTACTGTCCACTTCACCCACCTTACTGCTGCTATCGTACATTCGTTATGGCAGGCGCTGTCCTGTGAAATGTTTGGTGATGGTACCCATTACAAGCTGGAAAATACCGTCAAGAGAGCAGTCACCCATTACACCAAATTAATCGATGCCAATTACCACAAGCTTAACTTCACGATCGCTAATTCAATCTCCCAAGGAGTCACTGTCGATTGCTCTGCATTAACGCGTAAATTTAAATCTGATTGGAATCTTAATCCTTCCAACTACGTGCCACCACTTTATACTGTTGTTCATCAACACGCAACTACTGTTAGATCTATTCTATCCTAATACTACTCAACTTATTAATTAATAATTTATAACAATAATAATAATAATAATAATAATAATAACAATAATAATAACATTTTATTGGCTATATTTCTCACGGCCTGTGTGAGAATGTAAATATAACATAAAACACGAACTAGCAGGTTAATATCAATACCTGCAATTTGTTGACTGATCATGAGTCAACAAATCTTTTTTGCAAAACAAAAAAAAAAAAAAAAAAAAAAAAAACAGGTAGAGGATTGAAATGATTAAGCAAAGCATCTGTATTAAACATGTTGAATAAGGTCAGAGAGATAAAGTATAGTAAATTTAAATCGACAGTGACTCCTTGGTACATAAAGTATAGGACGTGAGAAATATAGCCAAAAAAAATGTTATTATTATTATTATTGTTATTGTTGTTATTGTTATTATTATTATTGTTATAGTTATTATTAATTAATAAGTTGAGTAGTATCAGGATAGAATAGATCTAACAGTAGTTGGGTGTTGATGAACAACAGTATAGAGTGGTGGCACGTAGTTGGAAGGATTTAGATTCCAATCAGATTTAAATTTACGCGTTTACTTTTTTTTTTTTTTTTTTTTTTTGCAAAAAAG